GGATGGGGCGGCCGTTGTAACTATACTTGAGACCTTGTATCTCAACTCCTCCCAGTGCGATGTGGGTGTCTATGGGCTCCAGTAACAACAGCAGGTGGCCTGTGAGCTCGTCCACCCATCTAAGCAATAAAAAAAAATACGCTAAAACGCTATTCTGTATCCGCTAATAGAAAACAACTTATTGTACATACAGTACAAGTTACTTACTTTACATACATTCGCATTGTTTTAATGCTTCGTCGAACTTCTAACAATGAGATAAACGTAAGAAATTGCGCAACAACCGCTTCCGTAATATGTTACGAAGACTTTTAAAATGACTAGCGTGTTTTACTCGAGAATCATATGGGAGATGCGTCGCTTTGAAATTCTGATCGCTTATTCAAAGATTGAATGCTAATTTCCTTAAGTGAGGTAACAATTATAATCCAAATCCAGACATTCGAAATGCGGCACTAAAAGACACCTTGTTTTCTTAACGTGTATATTGACTAGTCGGATCTGTGTGCTTAGTGCGAGTTTTTTAACGTTCTCGATAGCGTAAAAGTTAGCCCAATTTTGTATGCAATTGGAACAGCGCCCCTAGCGGCAAACGTAGGCAAACGATCCCATTCCATACAAATATGAGCTAACTTTTACGAGAACGTTAAAAAACTGGCACTAAGCACACTAAGTCACGTGTTGAGACTCTGGGGTGATATGTAGAAGTTTAATCAAATACAATGATATAGTTTAACCAAATTACCTTAGCATTTATTCTTAGGTTCTAGTTCGAGCTGTACATTGCAAATTGTAGGCACCTATATGAGAGAATGTAATTTTTCTGCGAATCGAGCTGCGCTTAAAGCAGTTGCCGCTGAGTAATGGTATTGATATCATTGTAGGTTCTGTTGGAATTAAATGTTCTTATTCGTCTTAAAAGCCGAACTAAGCAACCCTTGTTGTTTCATCAGAGCGACCAATGCCCGTTGAGCGATGCCATATAGACTGGTAATCATTGGACGACAAAACGAACCTTTTTTCCCCTACCTATTCACTGGTATCCCTAGAGGCTATTTTAGCTATACCCGGACCGGTAGGTGAGCTCACGTGCTCAACCTGAGAGAGTTTGCTAACACTAGCCCTAGCAAGAGCAGTGCTTCGCTGAATCTACGACCGGATCGGAATCGCGACCCACTGAGAAAATACGGCGGGAAGCTCAGTGGGCTAAGGCGTCGATGAATACAGCTTTGAAACAAGGCGGACTAGTGATAAATAAGAATAGGTTTTAAATTGCAATAACACACTGTATATATTAACAGTTGGTCTATTTCACCATAGCAAAGCACGGCAGGAATACACTGGCATCTTTACTTGGAATATTGAATCAAATCGTCTGATAATTGAAGACATAAGTGGATTAAGTACCATTTTTAGGATTTTTGAGTTTTTACATTAAATGAAGTTAATATGTGCCTATAAACCATATTAGACCTTAACACTCCGGGTTTAAAGGCTATTTTTAGAAATTGCATGTGATGAAGGAGTTTTGTACGAAGAAAAAGTACAAATAACAAAAGTTTGTAGCCCGTTTTCTTAAAATTAACAAATTGTATCATATCCCCTTCATCCAGTCATGTCTTCAATTATATTGGACTATACGTTCCCGATCCTCCAATCTTTCTTTATATTTCGTGTCACAATCTTCTGCTCCAAATATCCAAACTCGTTTGAAATAATATTTGCACATACGAGTCTATAGACGTGTCGGTATCGGAAATTGAATATAGACAACCTATCCGTATTAAGGGTAGTTCACATCAGCTGTAAATGCGGTTTATTTGCTACTGCCTTTTCTTGCAGAATCGGGATTAAATAATCAGCCAAATTCAATTTGAGAATTACTCAAATGTCATGTTTGTCATTACGCAATTTCGGTAAACGTGAAAGCTGAATGAAAAATGACCTCTTCCAAAACATACACTCTCTGAGCTTACGAAAGTGGCTTAAGCTGATTACGAACAGGAAATAATAGAGTTAGGGCTTCGTCGGAAAGTTGTACGATTTGACGTAGGGCCGGATTATGACGTATAAGCACCATAATGTCGGTCTACGTGAATTAATGAAATAGATATTTTAGTGAATATCATTGTTTTCGTTGCCATCACATGAGAAGCTCCTAGGATATGGTGGGAAGCAATCTACGGGAGTTCCAAGTCCGGGTCTCGTCAATTGACGAGAGACTGACCTTTTTTATTACACTAGACAGGTAAGAAATACCAAAATGTGGATGCCATCAATAATTTTCAAGCATGAGGTTAAAAACTTTTTTGTTGGCTTTTTAAGAAGACAAGCATACATAAGTGGTTACCGTCGCTCATGAAAATCAGCAATGCCCAGGGCAGGGCCAAAAGTAGCCTTGCTTGAAGAAGGACAGCTCTCGGGAAACACGGGGAACAACAAGTCTCTATTATATTACCGCTATCCCATCCTTCAAACCAGTACAAATGCTTGTTTCAAGTCAAATTTCTACAGGACGAATACACCTGCGGACTGGCCTAAGCACAATACGGTCCTGTTTAAAGTACACATAAGAAAATATGTACCTAGTAATAATAGTCCTAGCTTGTGACTGATGAAACATCATCATCATCATCAACAGCCCACAGTCGTCCACTGCTGGACATAGGCCTCTCCCAATCCACACTGATGAAACATATCGTATCTTCGGTAAGACAAGGGCCGAAGTGCTAAAATTTCTGAAAATGAGTTAAATATGCCAAAGTGCCTTATAAACTAATTTATACCTGTAGGAACAAAGACATTCACTAGACTCAGTTTATTTTTGCCAGATGGCAAAAGTGTCTTTGTACCATTCGTTCGTTTTTTGGATGATATTGGCGCGACAAAATCTTATTGGTCATTTGCGGCATCGCCCGCGCGAGTAGTCGTTGTGTACTGGACCATAAGGGTCACTAAGGTAAATATGCCCTTTTTTGTTTTATATTTTGGAAAGACATGGTCACATTTTGTGTACACAATATGCCTATTTGAGAGCACATATTTGACAGAAAAAATAAATACGCATTTACTTGGCATTCCACAAAGGAATATGTGGCATTTTATAGATTTACTTAATGTAAACCTTTTAGAAGTGAATTTTATGTTATATTTTTTTTTGTAGTTTTATTTTATCATTGATAAAGATTTTCCTAAGCAAAAGAAGAATAAAGATGTAGAAAATAAGTAGTATTTTAATTTAATAAGTAATTTCAATATAATGTGTAACTTTGGTCGCAACTGCACATTTATTTAAATGTTGGTGGGATAATGGCATAATTGTAGGCATACATTAATATTTCGTTAAATAATTAGTATAAATAAATAAATAACTCAGTCTTTCAAATTACATATTTATATTCACATGTATAAGGTATATTTTTGCTATAAATAAAATACTATTTTACATTAATATGGGCAGAAAAACACATTTTAAATCTATAAAAATCTTAAAACGTCTCTCCTGAACATTTTTAAAATTAGCACTTCGGCCCTTGTCTTACCGAAGGTGCGATATATTGACTATTTAAGAAAAATAAAGATTAAAGACATGTGCCTGAGATTAAATCATAGAATTGTGTTCCCTATTGCACTGCTGTGTAAGTATAAAAATGCCTTGACAGCTGTTATCCATAGTTCGCGAGCTGAGGCTTAGCACACACACACACAAATATGCTACACACTCAACTAATAGATATGAGTACCATTACATTGGACTAACAGCAGTACTCAACATTGACAGATAAACAAATAATTAGAATGGATAACAATCTTATATACATAGATTACATTGAATCTTATCAAGCATATGACGTAGGCTCTTGAAATGAATCAAACGACTTTGGAGCTTGTCCTGTGAGGATAAAGTTAATTTTAAGATTTACTCTTGTATATTTTGCAGTAATGATGACGTGATTCTAATGGGTGCACATAATGCAATATACATTTGTTTAATTTAAATGTCAAATATGTTTTTTTTGTGTTAAAACTTCTTTGGCGTTCCAAACTTACAGAAGTGCATAATATAATTTTCATTAAAACCTATTTAAGAAAATTTACCTCTATTTTTATTCATTACTGTAATATATCTATAGGTCATTTAATAGTGGTTCTGAATTAGCTTAGAAAACGAAATTAAACTCCGAGTTTACTATGTTGTAGTGTCTATAATTTATTGGCATTTCTAGAAATAATTCTAATGTTTAAACTAGGTTATGATTAATCTGTCATGTTTTTAAACTGTATTGAATGCCTTGTTGTTTTTGTGGTCAGTGACTACAACCAATGTACTATGTGATCCAAGTTTGAGTTCAGATCAGAGCCTGTAAAATAATTAGATCAGAGTGTATTTGTGCTTGCTTCTTGTGTGTTTCAAGCAGCTATAATACAGAATAGAATGTTAATTTGGGGGCAGTTGTATAAGCTTTAAATGGGTTAACGTTAAAAAAAAATCATTTTTACAATGTTTTACTTTTTTGTAGATTGTGATCTGTTTGCTGTGACTACAGAGATACACTGCCAAAGCACTGGAACTTAGCATTATGATTATTTACAAGAGTTAATAATAAAGAATATTTAGGTTTTTAGTTTGCATTTCAAAAATGATATATTTATCACAGAGTTTAAAATTAGAATTACTATGTTTTTAGAATCTAAAAATATATTTTATTCTCTAAACACATCGCAATTACTTCCACCAAGAAATGTTGCTTTGTTTCAATTTTATGTTTAATAGAATTTTAAACAGCCTGTCCAATGATTTCAAACCAGTTTCAGATTCTTAGAAACGGCACTCACACGTCATTTCAGAATTATTATAAACGAAACAATGGCTGTATTGACTAAATAATCTTATACTTTCACCCATTCAACTATTTAAGATGTTTATCTGGGGAATTGAAATTTTTCAATCTTAATTTTTTTATCAATTTTTTTTGCACTAATTTATGTAATTCACTTACCTTTCTCAAAGTAAACGTTGTAAAAACTACACCGGACGTATTGAATCACATTTTTTCAAAGGTATTATTACGATAAGAGCACGATAAACGTAAATAACGAACTAATCTTTGTCTGTTTGCCTCGTTTCGAGTCCCCACAATATGGAATAACGTTGATAATGTTCACACGATATTTACACTTGTTTACGTAAAAACATCAAATAAATAAACACGCGTGGAACTATGCGAGTGATTTAAACTCGAAGAATTCGCGTTCCTGAAATAATTTTTGCTTGATCGGTTACCAATCGACACGAAATTCTAAATTGATTGATTTGATTGAGTTAAAATTTGTTCTTTTAAATCATTCGTTCTGAGTGAGAGCAACTGAACTGATACACTCTTCAGTGTAACGGAAAAGTTCGATTCTATAATTTCTTTAGGCTAAACGTCTGCATTTTCACTTAATAAACTCTTGTGTCTTTTTTAACATGATTATTTGCTGAGAATAAACAAATTAAAGCAAAACAGCGCTAAATCTGATTTCGCCAAAGAAACTATTAGAGTACACTAAGTTACTTAATCATTTCAAAAACTTGTAATAATTTTATAGTCGATTTTTGTGGAATAATAACTGTTAAAGTATTTTAAAATTAATAAACCTAAACCTTCAATTTCTATTTTTACTTGCAAATTATAAATGTAGCAATCCCATAGACATGGACTGAAATTATACACCTGTGACCGTGACAGATAAAATAACATGACATATATTATTGACATTTGATGTCAAATTATTTGCAATTGCATTGTACCATTGTACGAAACTACTTTTATGAATGGAAACTTGTAAATAATTCAATACAAATAAAGTACGAAGGTAAACACATAAATAGTATAAACCATTACAGAACGCAAAGTGAAAAATGTTACATTTCCGTAACATAAACTAAATATACAATATTAAGTATTCAAGTTTACATTTTAAAATGGCAGAAAATAAGACACCGAGTCCGCAGAATGAAGAGAAAATCGAATTTAAAAAGCCTGTCTTGTTCGGACGTGTCGGGAAATTGCCTAAAAAAGTTAAAAATGAATCTGAAAAAGTAATTGAAGAGCCAAAAGATGAAACACCGGCCGAAAGTATCATTGAAAGCACTTCAAAAGAATCCATACCGCCGCCGGCCCACAAGAAAGAAGGTTTGATTCCGATACCTTATAAAGAGCCTAAATGGTCAGGATTATGCCCTGATGGTGAGTAAATGTTTTTTCAAAAGAGATAATATATATGCCTTAACAAGAGTAAATTTAAGTTTGCTTCAAAAAATATACTGCTTTGGTGTCGGTTCTTAAATGAGGATACACTCACTCATTAAAGTCATATCAGTGTGTGAAAACAGTTTTAGATTATTGTATGAATTTCAGGATCGGACTACGCACTCGAAGTTATAAAGTCTGGCATCATTACAGATAAAGTAGATTTGACTGGGAAACCTTATCATGTGTTTGGGAGATTCACTAACTGCGATATAATAATGGCACATCCTACGGTCTCTAGGTATGGTGGTTAGTTTTGAATTTGCCTCAGTGATGGGAATTATAAAAAAAAATTAACTAGTCTGTTTTGTAATGAGAATTTGAAAAGGTAGTTCCTTTTTTATTACTTACACAAATGGGGCTAGGTTTTTACTAGAGCCCATAGAGATCAACAACATAAATTCCACCACCTACCTTTATGTTGGAGTTCTAAGTCTCAGCTCTATAGAACAACAGCTTTCCCACTTTTCAAGCTGGAACACATTTATACTATGCGGCACAAAAACATGGTTGGTACCTACATGGGTCATGCCATGCCTTATCTCCAGTATCACTACTACCATTTGAAATATGGTGTAGTGTGAATTTATATCGGTGTTAAAGTGTTATTTTATGGTAGAGAGGGGCTTGGCTCTGCCCCTGGCATTGCTGGTGCATGAGCGACGGTAACCGCTTACCACCAGGTGGCCGGAATGCCCTTCTTCTCGTTTCAGTTTCCTCAAAACTGAGGGTCGTGACCACCTCCTCGCAACAAGAGTCTATTCCTGATCATTTCATATGCCCTACAAAGGCAATAAAAAATATCATAATAATAATTATAGCAATACATTTTTATGTATTAATGTTGTTATCTTAAATAGAATTCAGATAGAAATGAGTAATGATGAATTAAAAATTTTGACACATAAAATCTGCTTTGCTTGTATCCTGCTGAATTGAGTCAGTAACAATAAAACACCTTCCAGGCATCATGCGGTTTTACAATATAAAGCGTTCGCGGAAGAAGGGGAGCCAGTGTGCGGTTGGTACTTATATGATTTGGGCAGCACTCACGGCACATTTTTGAACAAGGAACGTCTTAAAGCCAATCATTACACTAGAGTGAGAGTCGGACATCAGATCAAATTTGGAAGCAGCACTAGGAACTATATTGTGATGGTAACTTTTTTTATTTTATAAAAAATTCATATTTAAAAAAAAAATCTAATATTAAAAAATAAATAAATAATAATTTCATATGTAAAAAAAAAAGACATGCCCGCTGAGTTTCTTGCCAATTCTTCTCAGGACGGAGGCTAGTTCTTGTGAATTGGCGGTAGTTTTTTTGACGTTCAACAAGTATGTGTTTTCATTTATGTTGAATAAAAAATTTTTGATTTGATTTGATTTGATTTGATTTATCTGGCACCAGAGGTCTGACTTATTATACTAGATCTAGTTTTTGATGCGATAATAGAACTGAAATTCGCAAGTCTAAAGCTCTACTTTATAAAGTCCATCTTCTATGAATCTGTTTTGGGTTTTTGTCTTATTCCTAGTTACTGCTCAGAAATAAGACAATAATGAATGCAGCTATTTAAATTAATATTTTTGTAAAAATACAGATTACAGTTACAAATCTTTCAATCGAAAATCTTTCCACAGAACACTACAGCAATAATATATTTGAAATTTTCGAACAGGGCCCCGACTTTGACTGTGAAGGCGAGTCTGAACTGTCAGTGACGGAAATAAAACAGAAGGCGTTGGAAATGAAGGCAGAGCGGGACAGGATGATCAAGGAGGCGATAGAACAGAGAGAGAAGGAACGATTGGAAGAGGAGAAGAGGAAAGAAGAACTTGGTATCGATTGGGGCATGGGTAGGTTATTATATTAGAATTACCTTTTTTTTATAATTTTCTTTGAGACTTTTTGGCGGGAACGCGAGTAGTAAAGTTGTGTAATTTGTTTTATTTTGTCTATTTAGTGTTTCTTCAGGTTTAAATACTTAATAACGGTGGTTTATTAACTGTTTAGTAACTGTGAAAGTGCACAAATGTGGGAAAATGAAACAAAGTCGCTGAACGTAACTTTTTAGGATCCTCCAAAAAGTCCATTAAAAAAGTCTCAGTAAATGACCACCATTTTGCTGAGATTATATTTCATCCCATATCATCTCATCTCATTCATTTCATAAAATATTTTTTAGTATAAAAGAGTTTTCATTAAAATTAAAATAAGACTTGACCTAAAGGTCTTAATTACCAGGTCATAAAATCCCTTAAAAAATATTCTTTGATTACTATCGAAATATGTTATAAAGTTATATTTGTTTAGTGCCTGTGTGTTTCGTAGTCGTCGTGGCCTAACGGATAAGACGTCCGGTGCATTCGTGTTGAAGCGATGCACCGGTGTTCGAATCCCGCAAGCGGGTACCAATTTTTCTAATGAAATACGCACTCAACAAATGTTCACGATTGACTTCCACGGTGAAGGAATAACATCGTGTAATAAAAATGAGACCCGCAAAATTATAATTTGCGTAATTACTGGTGGTAGGACCTCTTATGAGTCCGCGCGGGTGGGTACCACCACCCTGCCTATTTCTGCCGTGAAGCAGTAATGCGTTTCGGTTTGAAGGGCGGGGCAGCCGTCGTTACTATACTTGAGACCTTAGAACTTCTATCTCAAGGTGGGTGGCGCATTTACGTTGTGGATGTCTATGGGCTCCAGTAACCACTTAACACCAGGTGGGCTGTGAGATCGTCCACCCATCTAAGCAATAAAAAAAAAAAGTGATTACGTGACCTAATTAATATGGCAACTAAAATTTTGCCACGTGGTTTGGGACATTACGTCAAAGTCTTTGGTATAACAGTCCTTTTGCTTAAAGTCAGAACTGCCAAATTCATGCCAGTCACAATATTAAATATTATTTGCAATAATGCAGTAAGGCTGACCTTTTTAAATTGTATGTTATAAAAAGTAATGGATCTTGAGATTCGTCGAATGATCTTCAACAGGCGAAGACGCTGATGAAGAACCAGACCTCGTCGAAAATCCGTATGCTGCTACAGCAAACGAGGAGCTGTACCTCGATGATCCAAAGAAGACGCTACGAGGCTACTTCGAGCGCGAGGGTCATGAACTGAACTATGACTGCGAGGAGAGAGGAATCGGGCAGTATATATGCCGGTAAGTGCCCAGAATTGTGCGAATTCATTGGTGGTAGGACGTCTTGTGAGTCCGCACGGGTAGGTACCACCGCCCTGCCTATTTCTGACGCAAAGCAATAATACGTTTTGGTTTGGAGGCTCGGGCAGCCGTTGTACTGTAAAAACGGAGACCTTAGAACTCATATCTCGAGGTGGATAGCGGCTTGATTCGAGTTGTTTTTATTAACCTGTTTACCATTTTCATGGTTAAACTTATAAAAACCCAGCGTTCTACCAAAATTATTTAAGTACAATTTTGCTTATATGGATATGCTATATATTTTACAAATTGACGGCGTTGACGATTCTCGATACCAGTAACCATTTAACAGCGGGAAGATTCCAAGTGCAAATAAAAATTAAAAATACCCTGTTTCAGAGTGGAACTCCCAATGGATGATCCCCACGGTAGACCGGTGATGGCCGAAGTGATCCACCGAGGGAAGAAGAAGGAGGCTGTAGTGGCGTGTGCGCTGGAGGCCTGCAAGATCCTCGATAGGGCTGGACTGCTGCGTCAGGCGAAACATGGTAACTGGACCAGGCGCTTGCAGCGTGCAGTACTGATGTTGCGGCGCGCTGGGAACCCATAAAAGCATCACTTTATCATGGTCGATGTCGTCGCGGTTTAAAGGATAAGACCGCCGGTGCATTCGTAGCGAGCGACCCGACTGTGCCGGGGTTCGAATCCCGCAGGCTTATACAGATTTGTCTGATGAATTACGGCCTGGGATATGATCACGAACGACTTCCACGGTGAAGGAATAACATCGTGTAATAAAAATCAGATTACGTCGAAAACTAGATCCTTCAGAGAGTGAAGGGATCTTTTCTTTTATCGCTATGGGGAAAGAGCAACGATCAGCCCACATATGACGTCACACGTCGCGGTTTTCGTTTCGATGTGATGACCAGCGCCATTACTTGTTGTCTTTGTTTTTGTAAACAACGGTCTTTCAAAAGCTTACCACGTATATTGGTATATAAATCAAATAGTATCATAGTTTATTTTATATTATATGTAAACGGTATATATTTATATATTGTATCTATATATTTGCCAGAATGTATGTATATTTTTTCTAAATTATACGGTTATCTCTAAGAGATCGACCGAGAAGACCTTTCTCCCTCTCTCTCCCTGTCTCTCCCCCTCTCTCTCTTTCTCTCCCCCTCTCTCTCTTTCTCTCCCCCTCTCTCTCTTTCTCTCCCTCTCTCTTTCTCTCCCTCTCTCTCTTTCTCTTCCCCTTCTCTCTCTTTAAACAACGTACATAATAATATGGTGTTTGTTGGCCGACATCAGAGTCGCGTCGGCGCAAGCAGCGCGACTGGAGCGCGGACGACTACTACGACTCTGACGAAGACACGTTCCTGGACCGCACCGGGCACGTGGAGACGAAGCGCCGCATCCGGATGGAGAGGCTCGGAGCCGCCGAACTCAAGAATGAGAAGCCGCTCACCTATGATGACTTGGTGAGTTGCGTTCACTGGAGTACAGTGCCCGGCAATTTATTATTGTGTGGATGGGTGGACGAGCTCACAGCCCACCTGGTGTTAAGCGGTTAATGGAGCCCATAGACATCTACAACGTAAATGCGTAAAACAATAACAAAAGTTTGAGAATTGAAATCAAACAAAGAGTATGTGTGTGTGTCAAATATGTGGTAGTGTGTGTAATATGTTTTATTTATTGTATTATAAAAGCATAATTTAAAAAAAATATATTAAAATTCTGCACTCCTTCTCCATATTTTCTATAAGTGTGAGAAAGGACATGGGCCATTTTCGGCCCGGCTACTCGTGCTCTCAAGGACATTAATGAAATATCTATAGAAAAAACATTTCATTTTAACATAGTTATTGTAAAATTTAAGGGTATTTTAATGGTGGGATAATTAAAATCATAAATTAAAAGAAATTAGCTTGACTAAGCTACATTGATAATATTGAAGGAGTTGCCATAGGTAAAATATATTTATATTTTAAACAATTCACATTATCTTCTTAAAAAAAATATTATATTGCAAAAAACTAGCAAAATATATTAACATATTTAATTAATGGATTTTAAAATTCATATAAAATATTATATCTAAACAAAAATCTATTTTTATACTTTTAAATCCGTAGAATAAATCATGACATGACATAACATAATTATTGAGCTTAAGCAAAAAAAAAAAACTACAATGTTTATTGACGTTTTACATCTGATCACTCGTTTTTGCACACTTATATTATTTTACCTGCCTGCCTGCCTACCTGGATATTATTATACCTGCTTATTATATTTAAGAATATTTAGAATTAGGTCTGTGTCATAAAGTATAGTAATATAAATAATATTTAAGCTGATGGTGATGTTAAAGTGTCAGTGTATTGGCAGCAAAATCATATGATATAGGTAACCTAAAATTCTTATCTTATTTTTTAAATAAGATAAGAATTTTATGTTAATGAAATAGTAAATAAGGCTTTTCGAATGTTAGGCTTCATACTTAGAGTTGGTAAAGACTTTAAAAGACCATCTACTTTGATTCTGTTGTACAACAGTTTTGTATGGTCTATATTGGAATATGGCTCCGTCACATGGAATCCCCAATATAATATTTATATTCAGCGACTAGAAAGAGTGCAAAAAAAGTTTTTTAAGCATCTTATTTACCAGTGTCGTCGCTTTAACTCTCCAGAACCGACAGAATTTGTCTCTCTAGTCGATCGTAGGCTACTGAGGGATCAAATGTTTTTATATAAAATAATAAATAACGAGATTGATTCTAGCTATCTTCTTTCCAAAATTTCATTTAAATGTAGTCGTATTTCCGCGCGTTCTAAACAGACTTTCCACATGTCCACGGCTCGAACGAAATATGCTTCTAACTCTTTTGTCCGTAGATCTTGTAGGTTTTATGATGCTAAGTTCTCTAATGCTGACATCTTTTGCTTGTCACTTATAGCATATAGAAAAGCTATTTTAAAACTTTTATAAGGTGATTTAGCCCGATAAGTAGTATAGTTGATGTATAAAATAATATGTGCGTATTGTGTTGCTTTTGTTTTTTTTGTAATTTAAATTTCTAAATTTCTCTTCTTGTTCACTGTCTACTTATATGTGATTTTGATTGTGGAAACATTTTTGATTGTTGTTTTAGCTATAATATTTTTTTAAATATTATATGTTTGTATTGTACTGTTTGTTTCCCAAATAAATAAATATCTCTGTATCCTCATGAACAATATTAACAATATTGATTTTAATTTGTTTATAACAAAAGGGATATATAGTCTGTTATTTAAACTTAATTTCATTACTGTCCTTGAATTTCGTTTAGTGGGCCGTGCAATGTATGGAGAATGGCCCATGTCCTTTCATACTCCTTTCACAAATTTTTTTTCAAATCGGCATCCCTAAATCGAAGGCATAAGGACTACATTCGTTTGTTGGAACAGCTCAGCAAGGTCGAGGAGCTGGAGCGCAAGCTGGCGGCCGAGGAGAAGTCGCTGGCGCGGCTGAGGGCCGAGCTGAAGGCGGGGCTGCAGCCCAGCGGTGACGCGGACGCACTCGACCACTACATGAGCACCCTCAAGCACGGCACCATGGCGCAGAAGGCGGAAATATCACAGACGAAGGTATGTAGTAGTAGTTTTATTTTTCCAAATGGAAAGGCAAAGGTATCACACCATACAGCCTAATATTATATATATATAATATTATTATGAGAAATTATATTATGAAATGAAATGAAGCTGATTAATATAAAACATGGCATGGCATGAAATGAAATGAATTTAAATGAGATGAGATGATATAGTATGGGATATTTTTATGAAAAACTAGCTGTACTAGCATCATTAACGCTCCGGCATCTGGTTTAAGGAATCCAACACTCATAAATATTAGCCTATCCATTAAGTACATGTATTCTCTACATGGATACCAAGTTTCAAGTCAATCGGATGCACGGTTCAGTAGTTATAAAGGAACATCCGTAAAAACCACTGTAGATTTACATATTAGTATAGACGATAATATGGAGGGAAATGAAATGAAAAATTTGAGACATTAATCAACTGGGATGAAATGAAATGAAATGAGATGATATGAGATGATATGTGATAAAATATAATCTCAGTAAAATGGTGGTCGCTTACTGAGATTTTTTCAGTGGACTTTTTGGAGGATCCCGAGAAGTTACGTCCAACGGCTTTGTTTCATTACGAAGGTATGGATATTCATGACAGGAATTAGGCTTAATCTATTGTTTTTTTTTTAATATGGCAATATTGGCTTCTTGCGGACGGCATTGTTGCCAGGGTCGGGCTTATAAACCCCTTTAATTGTTAAATACGTATTCTCTTAGATGAGAAACGTTACGCGAAATGAGACTAATTAAATGAAAAATTACGAAATAAAATGTAATAAAGTTTTTTTTGATGAAGTTTTTGAAGAAACCTGATAAGCCATGTCCGGCGACTTTGTTACATTTTCCCACACTTGTGCACTTACAAGGAATCTCCTCGTCGCTTCGGTTTTCTCAATATTGAAGGTCGTAATCATTTCTTCTCAAAAAGAGCTTATAGTGGATCATTCTACGCCATTTGTTTCCTATCTACCGCCGAGTGTAGCGCATAAGCTAAGCTGCACATCACAGAAGATAAACAGTTAACAAACTACCGTCGTGATACGTTTAAATCTACTGAAGCACGAATTTAAGAAAATAAAACAATATACACAACTTCGTCCCACGCATGCCCGCATTACTTTAAATCGTATAACACTGTACTATATGTTTTTATTTTTATTTTTGCATAGATGGGTGGACGAGCTCTAGTCCACCTGATGTTAAGTGATTACTGGAGCCCATAGACATCTACAACTCAAATTCCGCCATCCACCTTGAGATATATGTTCTAAGGTCTCAGTATAGTTACAACCTCAGTATAGCTGCCCCACCCTTCAAACCGAAACGCATTACTGCTTCACGGCAAAAATAGGCGGGGCAGTGGTACCTACCCGTGCGGATTCACAACAGGTCCTACCACCAGTAATAGAGTGTAATATGTGTTTTTCCTTCAGATGAACATACAGAAGCTACGTAAGGACCTGTCGAAGACGCAACGACTGGCGGAGCTGGCGCGCCCCGCACACCTCCCGCCCCTTGTCGCGAAACAGGAAACAAAGATGGCCGTCAAAATCGGGAGTAACAGCGTTGTCTACGGGAAGAGGTAAGTAGAGACACCCCATTTTTTTTAAACCGCATGCTTGACGTTAGAAGCTTTCAGAGCTGTCATTATACGTAATATATTTGACAGATGCGTGAATCGCGTTAACTATTACCTTTAAACTTCCAAGATGAGTTTGCGTATTTACAAGTTCGGGACAATAAGATTCGGACCAAATCCGAAGAGGAGAAGAAAGAGATCAAAACTTATTGTCTATTGTGGCCTCTAGTTTTGATAATAAATAAATTACTTTCGATAAGTGACACCCGGGCTCAAAAATGAGGGTTCTCTGTACTGTAATAACCGGATACTGATATCAGTACTTATATACATTTAAATATATGTTTTTAACTTCAATTTATTGTGTTCAAGTCATGTATTTTTCGCGTTTTCTTTTTTTTTGTTTTTGTTTTGTATCTCTTATTTTTAAAATAACTAACAAAAAAGTTCTAATCGTGGATTAGAAATTTAATTTGAATTTTATAAAATTTTGAAGTTAAAAACCTACATATAAATACATATAAGAGTAAACAATTTTCTTTATCACACGAAAGTTCGCCCGTTAAGAGAATCGAACCTACGCTACTGTCTCACTCATACAGTCGTGTTATTTTCAGGATACGTCTAAAAGAAGACACCCGGATACGACCCAAGGTTTCCGTACCATCGAAGCAGGACGACGGAGAATTCGTTGAGGAGGTGGAATCGGATGACGAGGATAAGAATGAAAGTACAGATGATAACAAAAAAATTAATACCGAAAATTCTACTAAATTCGAAAGTGCTTCGAAAGCTGGTATCATTGAAGCTGAATCTAGCGTGGAGGGCGCTCGTGTTAATGACAAAGACGACGATGGTGATGTCAGTAAGAGAGAGGGAGACGAGAGACCCAGAACGTTCGGTCCGATGAGGCCTCCCGATGGATACGTGATACCAGACGATTATTACAGTAATCGAGATTGTAATGAAATCATGGAGGAATAATTAAGAATAAATTATTAAAAATGTTTTGTTTTTCATTTTGTCTTATTGACGACGTCTGTTCGAAGTACACCGCCCAAAATAGTCTATAAAGTAGTCCGATAAATAATAAACTTTATGCTGTATATAACTGCGAAAGTTAAAAACATTTTTCCTTCTTTAATATATTTTATAAATTAGCTTAGATTATTTTTCTCTTCCATACTTGTCTCCATTCATGCTCTATGGGACTTGGGTCTTGAGCTCGCTGGTTGCTCAATAACATTCATTTACAATTTCAATGTTTTGAATGTAATTGACAACCACGGCTGCAACACGTGAGCGTGCATTATCATGCATAAAAATAAACTTTCCGTGAATGGGAGTTCAGTAGGTGCCCCCTTAAAGAAACTATTCATACCCAAAGACGTCTTTAACTCGTATAGCGTCCGTGTGCAGTCATTACTCTAGTGTCTCCAGTAAGAATGACGTCAAAATGTAACAGGTTCGTTCATTGAAAGTGCTGAGGCCGACGCCTTCTAATACCGCTTCGTCTCCACCCTACACTATAGGTATCTACCGTGGAGCACTAATGGTTTGAAGGGTGGAGCAGCCGTTGTAACTATTTTGAAACGTTAGAACTCCTGTTTCAAGATGGGTGGTGGCATTTACGCTGTAGATGTCTATAGGCTCCGGTAACCACTTAGCACCATCTATGCAAAAAAAACACCCACTTCTGTTCATACCATAACTGTCTGGTCATTAAATATCTTCTTTACAATTATATTGTTTTGAGCTTGCCTCTCTCCTAAGGCTCTCGACATTTTAATCTCTCTACCTGGCTCCAAGCTGTATCATTACAATGTTCGTGATTGCGAACAGAATTAACATTGTATATTCGATTTTCGAGGTGGTTAAATGTTCAAGTTACTTATGGCCGGAAACAAATTGATCTATATTGGCGTTTTGACAACATGAGAAGTTGACGAGAAACGAAACGTTCCGTTTCGAACGGAGTTGTCAAAAATGGCCTCCCTTCTCAATGTTTTGTTGCGAAAATCTCCTAATTTCGGCCAAAAATCGGTCTTATTAAAGAACATTCCCGCTGTTCATAATGTGAAGTGAGTGTTAAATACAGAATTATAAAATGAGTGTGTTCAACTATTGAGCAAAAGTGAAAAAAAAATTATGTAACATTGTAGGTTAATTCACTATAACTTATTTATGAATTCAAACAAAATAAACAATTGCAAACTCAATAATTTTACAACTACTTCGTTTAATTCGCATCTGTAATTAAAGGAACTTAATAACAACTTTGACTTCATCTGCCTCGACTCTGTATCTAACATTACTCTTATAACTAAATTCATAATATTTTGTTACATTTCACACATAGTCTTCCACAACCAAATTTAATGATACTGATCTCAACTAAAGATGAACGACTTACTAACCGGAAATCTTACAGCCCTGAGTAAGAATTTAAATAATAGGGTACAACAGTATCCCAAATGTGTTGCATATAGTTATCTCCCAAAAGCACTCTTTAAGTTATTTTATACACGAGATATAAGTAGAGTTATTGTTGTAGAGTTACTAAATTCATATTTTTATTTTTAGAGATATAAAAAAAAACAAATAAGTTAAAAAAATCCCTGCTCTAGTGTTAGGGATTGGATATGCTTTTAATGTCTAGAAATCGAAAGCTTAATAGCTAACAGAGCTCACTATAAGAACTTTTACAGCTCCCAAAGAGATGGGCACCGGTGGTTCCCTGATCCAGACTTTGTGAAACAATTTGAAGGGCCAGTCATGTATCCTGATGAATCGACCAAATCATTGAAACCTGTTCCTTATAACAGTAAGTAATTAATGTGGCACATAAACATTTTTGTTATGCCGCAAATACCTCTAGCACCCATTTAGTAAAATTAGTACTGACCATAATCAATCATAACAAATTCACATCTAAATCCGTTTTCATCATATTAACATTGTTGTTGTTGCTATCCTAGGCTTGCTGGTACATAGGGCCCTCACAAGCTGTCTCCACTTGACCCTGTCTTGTGCTTATTTTTTTTTTAATGATATCGCTCCAGGTCATGCTGGCAGTCCTGATCTCGCACTCCACAGTGCCATTATGTACAGGGCGATCAGGTCTTCTCCTGCCAAGTGGTTGCCACTCAAACGCGATTGATGATACTTTGACTCCGCTGCACTGTAAACTCGTAGAGTGTGTCCTGTTGAATGACATGTGTGGCTAGATTACCTTTAAACTGGAAGTCTTAAAAAAATCGCTGTGACTCTTCAGGAGGAGCAAGCCAGAGTTTCTCCTGTTTGGATGTGAGACCTGGAGAGTGACCAAGACAATCACCAACCAATTGCAGGTGTAAATAAGTGCTTGAGGTCGATACTCTACATATTCTGGCCAGTCACTATATGAAATAAAGACCTCTGGACTAAATGTGCCTAAACCTCCATCACCCATTTTAACGTTATTAAAATATAATGTGATGTGTTAAAACATAATAAACTGTCAAAGTAAGTGTAATTATGTCTCTAACTTACAACCCACAAAAATCAAAGAGAAAACAAAAGTAAGTTAAACTTTTCATCGTCTGTCGTGTCATTTTTTCCGTACTTTAATGAATGATAATTTTTTAGTATTACACTTTTTACTGTATCCCGTATTTATTTTGGATAGTAAGAACACACATTCTTGGATTAAGTGCTGGTATTATTTTTAATGACCTAGTTTAAATGATATTTTAGAGGATTTTGTTAGAATCAACTCTCTCTGTTTTAGAGGTTATAATATCGAGGGGTGAAAGTCTATTTGGTTTAAGCGACATTTTTGCGACTTTACAGGAAAGCCATTTCAAGTTCAAAATTTCGAGAAAACAAAAAATTCCTTCTGTTATTTGAATGGAGTAAACTTAATTGATGTTCAAACAAAAATACTAAACTGTTGATGCTAATACCAAATCCATTTAATAACAAAGATAAATGTTGAGTATTAAGCGTAATTTCCCTTAAACGAAATAGCATTTCACCACTCGATATATAGTAATAGAGATTCATTAATTACTTATTATTGTTTTGACTTGTATACCCTGTATAAGGTAGCGAGACTTCAGCATTTATCTACTCTATCCAATAAAGAAAGTGTTTATCACCTAATCGCTTAGAATGAGGCAGACTCTGCTCTCAAATGATAAAAATATTAAAAAATAATAATCTTTCAGGCATCATAAAACCGGCCGAAAAGAAAGTACGCAACATGATCCTGAACTTCGGGCCCCAGCATCCAGCCGCTCACGGGGTGCTGCGTCTCGTACTGGAACTGGACGGAGAGGTGAGATATTTTGGAACATCAGCAGTTGAATTAGCTGATGCATGTATCGTCTTCTCACATTAAAACTGTATAATCTCAAAACTTACAAATTTTACAGGAGTGTTTTAAAGGTTTAATATTAATCATCTTTGCAACATTTATTTTTTATTTTTTACCAGTTACGTTATTTGTCTTTTATAGTAAGATAAAATTATGTATTAATTTTGTTAATAGTAAACAATTTTGTAAATAGTAAAAAAAAAAAATTTAACTAAACTACGCTCTTTTGACAGATGATCTATGAGAAAAATACTGATGATACCAAATGATTCCGCATAATAACTAAATTTCGAATATTTTTGGAAATTGTACACTTTTAATGCGAAAAGACTGTATGTCTTGATATTTGGAGAATATTAAACTCGGTTTCTCAGAGCAGTCTGATGTTGGTGCTGTTATAAAATCTTCCATTCTTGGCCTCTTTTTTATTTTTTATTGCATAGATGGGTGGACGAGCTCACATCCCACCTGGCGTTAAGAGGTTACCGGAACCCATAGACATCTACAACGTAAATGCCGCCCACCTTGAGATATGAGTTCTAAAGTCCCAGTATAGTTACAACGGCTGCCCCACCTTTCAAACCGAAACGCATTATTGATTCACGGCAGAAATAGGCAGTGTGGTGGTACCTACCCGTGCATACTCACAAGAGGTTCTACCACCAGTAACCTAAACGGTTTGTTTTCGTTGCTCATACGGAATGAGCTCTGGCTCCACTTGCCCATAGACGTCAACAATGTAAATGTCTATTGTCATTCTAAATCTACATTAGATAGTAAGGTTGCATATACAGCTTGGGGGTAGTTCCTACTCGTGCGGGCTCACAAGACATCCCACAACAAGTGCCTGTATTTTTGATTTGCAGACAGTCCGTGCAGCAGATCCTCACATAGGTCTCCTGCACCGTGGTACTGAAAAGCTGATCGAATACAAGACATACACCCAAGCCCTGCCGTACTTCGACCGTCTGGACTACGTGTCCATGATGTGCAACGAGCAGTGCTACAGTCTGGCCGTCGAGAAGCTGCTGAACATCGATGTTCCTCTGCGGGCCAAGTACATCAGGAGTGAGTAGTAATCACAGTAGATCTAAGGACTCCTGAACTCAAAATCAGAAATTGTATTTTCAATTACAGAGTAATGAAAACCGTATAAAAGGTCATCGACCTCACGAGTCCCGAATTTACCAAATTCTATATTCTTTATATTTAAAGTAGTTAGTCGAACGTGTTTGTTTGTGCTGTTCTTAAAATTAGAGATTCGCATATGGAACAACTGATCAAATTTATTTGTATTTAGATATTTTTTCTCAAAGTACCTGTCATTTTTGTGTATACTGTAACATTGGCCAAATCAATGACTAAAGGTTTTGGAGCCATTTAAATTTTTTTTATCCGAAATTCAACCATAATTTCTGATACTTTAAGGCTTAGATTTTTAAAGTTAAGGTTAAGGTTTGGGTACATCGCATTTTCTCTTTTGCTCCATTCTTGATATTTAGAAGAAAAATATACGTATTGCTAAAATCATTTATATACACTGCATCAGCTAGGTGGATATTGTTTCCTCTCTTAGTAAAGATAGCTATAATTTTTTCCAGCTCTGTTTGCGGAGATAACCCGCCTACTGAACCACATAATGGCGGTCGGCACACACGCGCTCGACGTGGGGGCGCTCACTCCCTTCTTCTGGCTGTTTGAGGAGAGAGAGAAGATGATGGAGTTCTACGAGAGAGTCAGCGGCGCCAGGATGCACGCCGCCTACATCAGACCAGGAGGGGTTTCGCTTGTGAGTCTTTTGCGATAGCGGTCTGATTCTGAACGATGACCCAAAATTTTCTTTTCTTACCTATTCTAGTGACCTCAAGGAGCCTAGATTCATGGGGCTCTAACCTGAGGACGTAACATTAGGCCTAGTAAGAGCAGTACACTTGATATTAAGTGGTTACCGGAGCCTACAGACATCTAAAAAGTGGCCGCTAACCTACCTTGAGATATAAGTTCTAAGGTCTCAGTATAGTTACAACGACTGCCCCACCCTTCGAACCGAAACGCATTACTGCTTCACGGAAGAAATAGGTGGAGTGGTGGTACCTGCCCGCGCGGACTCACAAAACGTCCTACCGGATCGGGAATGTGACCCACTGAGAAGATCTGGCGAGTGACTCAGTGGGCTGTGTCTGTGGGTCCAAACTCTGTCAGGTTTGCTACAGTCGAAGTTTGGGGGGAATGCTCAGCGAGCCAAGCCCGACTGTAGCTACTCACCACCAGGTCGGCTGTGGGCTCACCTGCATACAACAGCCATAAAAAATGACTCTGAAGTCTCTGACATAACCTTTGTCGTAACCATACCCTATGGAGGGCTCTGTCTGACCAAAATACCCATATTCCAAAATAAACAGTTTTGCAGTTTATTTTTTTTTCCTACCTAAGCTGATAGTCTTGAGAGGTTATTTCAGCGTAACCTTAACTAGTAGGTGAGCTCACGGGAACTCGAACCTGACGATTTTGCTCACACTGACCCTAGCAAGAGCAGTGCTTTGCAGAATCTACCACCGGATCAGAAATGCGACCCACTGAGAAGATTTGGCGAGTAGTCTGTTGAAGGCTTTGACACCTCGACTTCGCCTGACTAAACCCCAAGCGTGTACCTCCAGGACATGCCGCTGGGTCTGATGGACGACATCTACGAGTTCTCGTCGAAGTTCGCCGAGCGCATCGACGAGGTGGAGGACGTGCTCACCACCAACAGGATCTGGGTGCAGCGGACCAAGGACATCGGCGTGGTCACTGCGCAGGACGCGCTCAACTACGGCTTCAGGCGAGTACTGAGTTAAGGGGGTTGAACCGGTTCAAGGTCAAATCTACCACTGCTGGATGATACACACCACTACAGCCCGTTGCTGCCGTAAAGCCTGTTAAGTGGTTACTGCAGCCCATAGACATCTACAACGTAAATGCGCCACCCACCTTGAGATACAAGTTCTAAGGTCTCAACCACTGCTTCACGGCAGAAACAGGCAGGGCGGTGGCACCCACCCGCGCGGACTCACAAGAGGTCCTACCACCAGTAAAAAGTCGGAGACAGTAGCATTCACGCTCAGATGTCTATGAGCTCTAATGAGTAATATATATTATTATATATCAGATGTGCCCAAGAACTTGCTGACTGCTAGCAGAGTTTTAATGTAATTTTTGCCACTTGAAGTCGTTTGATACAAGTTTCACACACTTCCAGTCACACATCCCAGTCGCCAGAATATGGGTTGCTATTAGAGCGTGTATCCCCCACCACCTGATGGTCGGAACCGTCTCGTGCTTGTACGACCGTCACGGCTTGGAGGAGAGACGCTCAACTGCTCGACTAGTTAAGCCCCAGGTTGAGAACGTGCGATGTTTCCAGCGGTGTGATGCTGCGGGGCTCCGGCATCAAGTGGGACCTCCGCAAGACGCAGCCCTACGACGCCTATCCCTTCGTCGAGTTCGACGTGCCCATAGGGACGCACGGCGACTGCTACGATAGGTAACCCTTAAGATATAATCGTCCTAACTATGTCACGATGTTTGTCCGGGATGAACTTCGAAACTATTCATCCGATTCTAACGTATATTGTTTCAAAATGTCTGCCTTGATCCAATTTAACACACAGTTTTTATCTTAGATTATAATAATTTCCTAAAAAAATAATAAAAAAAATGTGTTACCTAGATGACAAAATGTTATTGCTTTCTGTGAGCTCTATAGGTTTGCTAACAAGCCTATGTTAGCAAAACGTGGATTAAGTTAGTCTATGGACATAATGCTCGTATGTCCGGGTCTGGTGAGTATCCGATAGATGGCGCTGTATTCAAACTGAAAGCCTCATTCATGTTGCAACTTGTACTATATATGTTTTAGCCCATTGAGTTCCTCGCCGTATCTTCTCAATGGGTCGCGATTTCGATCCGGTGGTAGATTCTGTGAAGCACTGCCCTAGCTAGGGTTCGTGTTGGCTAATTCACCCTAGTTGAGCCCGTGAGCTCACTTACCCTTGGGCCGCATCGGAATGGGTGGGTAGAGGAAAAAATGTTCCGGAGCCTTTTTATTTGTTCCATGGAGAGTGATCTGAGGAATTGTTCGAGATGATCCCTCCAAAAGAAACCAGAACACTGAATGTATTTAGATGGAACCCTGCTTTTCGATTTGAAATATTGAAGTGTGTGATACCTCCACTAGGTACTTGTGTCGCGTCGAGGAGATGCGCCAGTCCCTCCGCATCATCGAGCAGTGCCTCAACGACATGCCCCCCGGGGAGGTCAAGACCGACGACGCCAAGCTCACCCCGCCCTCCCGGGAGGAGATGAAGGTAACCCGCCCTCTGTACCTGCGGTGGAGCCACCAGCTGTCCTCCACCGTCATTCGGGTGTTTCTCTATGCGCCCACACAGAACACAAGATGTTCAGATGATCATACATAGGTTTGAGAAAATTATTAAAGAACATCTGTGCAATAAAGCTTACTATAAAGTCAATGATTATCTAGAAGATTGCACAAAGTGGGAATGAGTTGCTCGCTCCGGGCATTTCAATATCTGTAATAATTGTTACGTTATAATACTAATTGTAAAATTTAATATTTAAAAAAAAATCTAATATTTAAAAAATAAAAAAAAGACATGTCCGCTGAGTTTCTTGCCAGTTCTTCTCAGGACGGAGGCTAGTTCTTGTGAATTGGCGGTAGTTCTTTTTGACATTCAACAAGTATGTACTTTCATTTATGTTGAATAAAAATTTTTTTTTTTTGATTTGATTTGATTTGACTAACCACCGCCTCCCCCGCAGACGTCCATGGAGGCGCTGATCCACCACTTCAAGCTGTTCACGCAGGGCTACCAGGTGCCGCCGGGCTCCACCTACACCGCCGTGGAGGCTCCCAAGGGGGAGTTCGGGATCTACCTCGTCTCCGACGGAGGCTCCAAGCCGTACAGGTCGGCGTCTTCACGAAATATTATTAATGTTTTAAATTACGAAATAACGAAATATTATATTATAAATATATAATAGGTAGGACCTCTTGTGAGCCCGCACGGGTACCACCACCCTGCCTATTTCTGCCGTGAAGCAGTAATGCGTTGCGGTTTGAAGGGTGGGGCAGCCGCTGTAACTATACGTGAGACCTTAGAACTTATATCTCAAGGTGAGTGGCGCATTTACGTTGTAGATGTCTATGGGCTCCAGTAACCACTTAACACCAGGTTGGCTCTAAAAAAAGCACCCAGTGTATAGCTATGTATAGGTATTTACATAAGGCGTTGTGTGTGTCCGTTGGCAGATGCAAGATCAAGGCGCCGGGCTTCGCGCACCTGGCGGCGCTGGAGAAGATCGGCAGGAACTCCATGCTGGCGGACATCGTGGCCATCATCGGGACCCTGGACGTGGTCTTCGGGGAGATCGACCGGTAGAACGTTGAAGCAGTAGACACATGTACATTTTTATGTTTAAGAAATAAATTATCTTAGAAAATCTGTTGTTGTTTTTGTTTTTATTAATTGTGCGTATATGTCGAAGGAATATCGATTCGTTGATAGACATCTATACTAATATTATAAAGAGGAAATGTTTGTTTGTTTGTATTGAATAGGCTCCGAAACTAATGAACCGATTTAAAAAATTCCTTCACTGTTGGAAAGCTACGCTATCCCCAGGTGACATAGGCTATATTTATTATATTTTCAAAAAATTAAGAGATCCTTACTGAAACTCCAATAATATAACCCAATGTGATTTTTTTTTTACCTAAAATTCTTTACATCGCGTGCGCTACTACCCAAGCGAAGCCGGGGCGGGCCGCTAGTCAGAAATAAGTCTAGATACGTCGTATTTACAATATTCCCCCACCTCACCCGACATCAGGCGTCGTCCGAATACTAAATGATTTGAAACGTTCGTAAAAATAAGTGTAACGCCATCTGTCATTAAATAAAAGAAACTAATATCAAAAGAACTAGTAATATCGAGAACGCTCGATTGATGTTACGCCATCTATTATCTAATAGCAGAAACACATCGGAATGACTAGTAAGTACTATTGGTGTAACACCGTATTGCTAATTTGCATGTTGGTTGTAAGTCAATCTAGCGCTTGCTCCCTCCATCGGTTCATCCTTTGTTCCGATTTCATTTAAATAGGCATGCAGGAGCTAGGAGCGACTCATTCAGAAGCCGCGCCAACTAGTTAAAGGAAAAGTCAAGACAGTACAGATCATTATTTAACTGTATAAGAATGTTTCACATTCAAGCTATTTATTTGTGCCCGATTTGATTTATCGGGTTCCAATAGTCATGAATAGTCCCGTAAATGGTGACTTTTCTAAATTGGAATACGCTCCGTGGTACGTAACGTCCCAGAATATTCTCCTGATCTGAGTACTTTCTGACTGACGTGAGGGAACTGGTGTAACATCAATAAATCCAGGATCCTAGCTTGTGAATAACCGTATTTTACCAAAAAGATACGTATAACTTTATAACTTAATATTTCATCGCAGAACATACATGTTAATTACCCTCCATTAGTTTTATATTCCTGTTGTTGTAACAATCTAGTGTAAGTAGCTTTAGTTTTCTTTTTATATTTTAATTTCTTTTATTGTATACGTGTGTGTTTTAATTTAATATATGTCTTTGTGTGAAACTGCATTTCAATCTTTTATTTTATAAGGCGCCCTGAGCAAATTTAATTAAGATCTCATTCTCTCCACTGCGGCTGCCGGTGGGTGTAACAAATACCGTTACATTGGGAATGTTCTCGATAATTGTAGACTTGTCGTATTAATTATAAAAGCGTTCCAGAGATGACACGAAGGCAGTTAGTAACCGGTTCTAACAGCCAACGGATCATCTGAAGCGAAGCGGAAGAAGTGAATTGCAAATGTGCCTTAAATGTTCTAAGTGTTAAATAGAAGTTTTAATTTGTACTTCCTTGAAAGTTTTTGACGTGATAGCGTCTTGTAAATTTAAGAACACCGGCTGTACGCACGAAAAACTTTGGTAGTTAATTCCAGAGTTGTTTTTTCATAACTATTCACTGGTAGCCTAAGAGGCTATTCCAGCAATGCGCGGGTAGGTGAGCTCACAGGCTCAACCTGAGAGAATTTGCTGACACGAACCCTAGCAAGAGCAGTGCTTCGCAGAATCTACCACCGGATCGGAAACGCGACCCACTGAGAAGATCCAGCGAGAAACTCAGTAGGTTGTTTTAAACGATACAATTATGATTTCGACATCATATCTTAAGGAGGCAATCAAACCCAAAGTTAAGCCAACAAAATTACAATTTGCGTAAATACTGGTGGCAGGACCTCTTGTGGGTTTGCGCGGATAGATACCACCACCTTGCTTATGTCTGCCGTGAAGCAGTAATGCGTTTCGGTTTGAAGGGTGGGGCAGCCGTTGTAGTGTTGAAATGGATGCCTTAGAACTCATGTCTCGAGGTAGGTGGCGGCATTTACGTTGTAGATGTCTAGGGTCTCCGGTAACCACTTAACACCAGGTGGGCTATAAGCTCGTCCACCAACCTAAGCAATAAAAAAAGGTCAAGTGAGAAGAAAAAAACCAGTAGTATAAAAATTCATTTATTTACAAAGTTCATTTCACAATCCGACGCGCCGTCTACTTGACGCGCTTCTGCTGCCGCTGCCTGTATATGTCGTTGACCGGGGGCGCCGTGCCCAGCTCGTCGTCGTCAGAGTCGTCGCCCAGCTTCCTGCGCCGGACCTGCGACACCGACCTCACGTCAGTACAGTTGAGGCCGACATGTCCCCAAACAACACACAAGCGACACTTTCGTATGAGAGCATCAACACAAATTATCAAATCTAAACTTTTTTAATTTAAATTCGAATAGAGACACTAAAAAGAACCAACCACAATTTAAAACACTTTTAGGATTTAATTTTGTTTTTTTTTTTAATTCATCATCATCGTCATCATCATCATCATCATCATCATCATATCATTAAATGAATCCCAATGTTCAGTTTGTTTAGTGCGAATTTTTTAACGTTCTCGATCGCGTAAAAGTTAACTCTGATTTGTATGGAGTCGGCACGTTTGCCGCTAGGGGCGCTGTTCCAGCTGCATACAAATTTGAGTTAACTTTTACGCGATCAAGAACGTTAAAAAAACTCGCTCTAAACAAACTGTATAACATAATATATAATGCGTCAGAATATCTAGTAGACTACGGAAAAGACAAATCCGAAATATACTGAGAATGAATCTATTTCTAAGAGACCTAAAAGACATACAAAAGAAGGCAAAGAGTTAGGCAATCCAGGCGCCTTAGTAACAGAAACCGATAGTTACTTCAGTGCGCCGCGTAGGACACCGGTGACCTACACGAGGCAAAGGGTAACGTATTGATATAACGTATTAACAGATGGAATACTTGTTAAAATTTCACTTGCGTACATTGGTTTGTTTCAATTCGTCGAGTGACATCGGGGCCCACGGACCGAATTAACGTGTCACATAGCTACATCTAGTAGTCTATCAAATATTTTATTGTACGTATTTGCACATCAAAGCGTACATTACTTAGATATATTATATCACACGGCTCAAGTTGAAAAAATATATCTAAAAAAACCTTTATTGCCCTTGTAGGCAGATGAGCATACGGCCTACCTGATGGTGAGTGGTTACCGTCGCCCATGGACGTCAGCAATGCTAGGGGCAGAACCAAGCCGCTGCCTACAATGTGTAAAATGTACCGTATGCGTATGTAGATTCGGTTCAAAGTTGACGCGTACCTTATTGGAGATGGCGGTGACGCCGTCGTCGTCGAACAGCCAGTGCACGGAGCGCGCCATCTCGAACAGCCGCGTGTCGCAGCCGTTCTCCGCCGAGGGCGCCGGCACTGCGGGGCAACAAGCAAGTGTGACGATATACCGTCAGATTTCAATCGCTTATAACTCCGAGACTTACAACCACAGGACTGTGTTTTTGATCACACGACGTAACTCAACTACCAACGTGTATACACGCGAAATTACTATTTTCTGTGACGTCACTTTTGATCGTTATGGATTTTCTAATATATCACTGTTAATTTGACGACTTGATGGCTAGTGGTCACGGACATCAGCAACGCGCTTATGTAAAGCTATGTGATTTGTACGAAGGGCTCTCAGCGAAGACCTGGGAGCGAAAGCGAGGCCCAAGACTGGACCTTCAGCCTCTTTGTTTCTTTATTTTTTAAATTATTAGATGGGTGGACGAGCTCACAGCCCACCAGGTGTTAAGTGGTTACTGGAGCCCATTGACATCTACAATGTAAATGCGCCACCCACCCTGAGATATAAGTTCTAAGGCCTCAGTATAGTTGCAACACCTGCTCTGCCTTTCAAACCGAAACGCATTACTGCTTCACGGCAGAAATAGGCGGGGTGGTGGTGCCCATTCGCGCGGACTCACAAGAGGTCCTACCACCAGTAAACCTTTGACCAGGGAAAGCCTTTGTCCAGTCCAGACCTTTATCCGGGAGCGATATCCTGTTGAAGAGCTGCATGAGCCGGTCCACCGCCACGAAGGGGCCCCGGAAGCAGTTGGGCGGCGGCAGCAGCGTGCACACGTGCGCCGCGCTCGACGGCAGCGGAAACGCCCCACCTGAGTCCGGGAACATTACCGTTTGAATCAACCAAATCTTTTTAATACGCTTTTATTAGCTTCAGACGTATGTATGTTGGTATGTCACGGAATCTTTGAACGTGATTTTGAGCCCATTCAAAACGTCGGACTAACACGAAATTTGGTATACTTATTAAGGACAGATGACGATTCAATATTAAATTTTTTTATTGAAATTCAACTAAAAAATGGAAAATAAATATTAAACAAATTTGAATTAAAAATAGTGTAATAAAAAATGATTTTATTGTAAAAGGTATCAGTAGTTATAAATATTTTATGAACACATATGAGTAGAAGGGTTATTTTGATAATATCCTGAAAAGCACCCCACGCTTTTTTTACAATAAAATCATTTTTTCTTACACTATTTTTAATTCAAATTTGTTAAAATTTATTTTCTATTTTTTAGTTGGATTTTCTATAAAAGCGTATTTTGTTAGTTTTTTTTAAACTACTATTTATTTTTCATTTTTTAGTTAAATTTTAATTTTTTCAATATATTTTTTTCAAATACTAGGTGGCGCAGGACATGTCTTTGTGGCGAGGCTTGGGGGAGGTCATGTCCAGCAGTGGACGTCTGTGGGCTGATAAGAAGGTGACGCTCGAGGAATGTGGGACTTGAAAACGTATCGATTTTGAGGAAATTCCTGTGGAATCGATTTAAAGCGAACTTTTCGAATCGATTTGATAATAAAATCGAATCATTTCTTTTTTTTTTTATTGCTTAGATTTTACAACGTAAATGCAGACATCCACTTTGAGATATAATATAGTTACAACAGCTGCCCCACCCTTCAAACCGAAACGCATTACTGCTTCACGGCAGAAATAGGCGGGGTGGTACCTACCCGTACGGACTCACAAGAGGTCCTACCACCAGTAAAAAAAGCTATAAACGTACATAGAAATGCAACATTACCTGGTATGGGGTGCTCCCCGGGTAGTGGGTTCGACTTGGGTTTGTACGGAATCATTTGGTTGGTGTCCGGACGCGCGATGTCTTTGTTAGGATCGTTGTCTCTGTAAACAAAATATATTGTTACTTTGGTAAGAGCAACGCCATCTATCGAAGAGTATCAGAAACGAACATCCAAAGAAACTAGTAACACCGAGAACGTTCGAGAAATACAACGCCATCTATTGTTAGATAGCGGAAGCACTCGACTTGCCCAGAATGTACTCGATAAATCTAGGGATGTCGTATCGACTATAAAAGCGTTGCAGATATGGTACGAAGTTAATTAGTAATCGGATCTACTCGAAGCGAAGCGGAAGAATTAACTACGAGTTTTAAAGTGTTCGTTAAGTGTTCTAAGTGTTAACACAGTTTTAATCTGTACTTTGGTGGAACCTTTATTTATCCCGAACCCCAGCGCGTAAGCATATTTATAAAATTCAAAATCAAACTTCGTAATATTAAACAAACAGACGAACGTCCGGAGCGGTTCCAAAGTCATTTATTAAGTCATATTTACATATATATATTTAGTTTGCAATATAGAAATACTGAGGGACGATGTCGTATGATCGTTGTATGGTCTCGTCGTGCGTTTTAGCCTCAAATGACGTCACGCGAAATTAATTTACAGGAAAATTAAAAAGAAGTGTTTTTTCTTACTACCCTCCCGCTAGGAGCCTAGAGGGGTTATTTGGGCTGTACCAAGACTGGTAGGTGAGCTCACAAGGCCTGGAGCCTTGACGACGTTCCTAATACTGGCCCTAGCCGGAGAGAGAGAGAGAGAGAGAGAGAAAAGGAAGATTCCAATTAAATACATTCGTCGTGTTCTGGTCTCTTTTGGAGGGATCATCTCAAACAATTCCTTAGAGCATTCCCCATGGAACACATAAAAAGGCTCCGGAACATATCTACCCATTTTCTGGTAGACCAAGGAGCTATCCCAATTACGAGTTAATGAGTAGGTGAGCTCACGGGGCACGACCTGAGAGAATTTGCTAACACTAGCCCTAGCAAAAGCAGTGCTTCGCTGAATCTACCATCAGATCGGAAACGCGATCCACTAAGAAGATCCGGCGAGAAACCGTTTTTTTTTTGTTTTTATTTTTATTGCTTAGATGGGTGGACGAGTTCACAGCCCACCTGGTGCTAACTGGTTACTGGAGCCCATAGACATCTACGAGGCTTCAAACCGAAACGCATTACTGTTTCACGGCAGAAATAGGCAGGGTGGTGGTACCTACCCGCAAGGACTCACAAGAGATCCTACCACCAGTACCAGTGGGCTATGTGGGTTAATGAAGCTACTGCGCTACCTCTGCCCCAGGATGACGGCCGCCAGCTCCGGTGAGATCCCCGCCAGCGGCCCCCCGAGGGCCCACGACTTGTTCGACATGGAGGCCACCTGCGAACCGAGACAGATTTCGTTATCACGCATCAGCCAACTCTCCTGCACGTTGTCAGAGACCTCGCCACCAACGCGAGGAAGCACCGCGACCCTGTTGAGGTCTGTTCAGTGGACTGACCTCAGTGTACCCTATAGACTTCAGCTCGGCGATGCTGCAGGGGTACAGGTCGAGGAACTTGTATCTGTCCACCAGCTGGGCCGTCTCTTTGCCTTCGAATTCTTTTATCTGCAGAAAAAATGTTGATTCAGATCATGTGTTATTTCTGTGTTTGTGGGAAATGGGTTTACTGGTGTTAAGACCTCTTATGAGTCCGCACGGGTAGGTACCACCACCCTGCCTATTTCTGCCGTGAAGCAGTAATGCGTTTCGGTTTACAGGGTGGGGCAGCCGTTGTAACTGTACTTGAGATCTTAAAACTTGTATCTCAAGGTGGGTGACGCATTTACGTTGTGGATGTCTATGGTCTCCAGTAACCACTTAACACTAGGTCAGCTGTGAGCTCGTCCACCCATCCAAGCAATAAAAAAGGAAATTCTCAATTTCGATTTTATTACTTTAAGCCTTAAAGAGCACGCCGTAAAGCTTAAATTATGCGCTTGATTTAAAAGAGACAGAAAATATACTTTATCCTTTTCCAGAGATTCGTACAACGTATAAAAATCATTTTCTTAAAATCTGTAGTTAAGCCACTTCGATTCTAAAGCTGCGATATGTTTTGTCGGACGGTATGACCCCTTCGACTCGCAACACCGATCCAAACGCGACATGTTTTAGCCACGTATGACGTCACCACTCCGGGCGGGACTCACCTTCTCGAGCACGCCCTGCCGCCGCTTCTCGACCTTGACGATGCTGACCAGGTCCCCGATGTTGGACTCGAACTCCAGAAACCTGTTCCATATGTCCACCGAGTGCTCCGGCCTGAGGCTGCCCGAGGACAGCACCCGCTCGAACAGAACCCTCGTGTTGTTGTCCTCTGACCAATTGTAAGGAGTTCATGAGACACGACTCCACCTCTCCGAGGGTAGCACAAATCGTCGTGGCTTAAAGGCTAAGAGCGACGCAGCCGTGTTGGTGTTCGAATCCCGCAGGCGGGTACCAATTTGTCTAACGAAATACGTACTTACTGGTACTCTTTCTTGTCCCAAGGTAGGTGTCGGCACTTAACACCAGGTGGGCCGTGAACTCGCCCACACATCTAAGCAACATATTTTTTAATGATTGATTACTGGTGACCCGGATTCCTTTCCAGCTTCAACAGGACAGGTGGGCGAGTAAACTTGCGTAAAGGCTCAGCCAGGTAGGGTGGGATTAACAGCTGCCCGAGCGCCTCCGAAGGAGACCTAACAACTCAAGAGCAGCTTCTTCGCTGAATCTACTATTGGGTCGGAATCGCGACCCGCTAAGAAGATCCGGCGAGAAACTCAGCGGGTTGTTGTTGAGGTTAGATGGGGGGTAAGTACAAAGCGTCTCACCGTTGAGATGGGACAGGTAGTCGATGTAGCAGAGCACGTACTCCGGGATGTGGGAGAACTTCTTGAGGCCGAGCTCGAAGATCCTGAAGGCTATGTTCTTGTCCTTGGAGCAGTAGTACTCCATGAGCGCGGCGGCCACGAACACGTGGTACCGGGACCTGGGGGACGTCAGGATAGAACGTATGACGTACGACGGACTTGCGTCAGCCCAAGTCACCTGATGGTGAGTGGTTACCGTCGCCCATGGACGTCAGCAATGCCAGGGGCAGAGCCAAGCCGCTGCCTACCGCAACCAAGCCGCTGCCTACCGTTATGTACTCTCCACAAGCCTAGTTTGAAGAAGGACATGTCATAGCGCTCGGAAGATCCCGTGGAGGGGAGCTCATAAAGCCAGATGGTATGTGGCAAATTGTAATCAATTATTATTTTTTGTGTACAATAAAGCAACTTTTTCTCTCTCTCTCATTATTTGACAGTTACCTGAATCGCCCTAACGACATTTGCGACTAAAGTTATATACAAGTTCCGCACACTGTTTCTTAATTCCTTCCTCAGTCTTTTATTAACGATATCTGTGGTAGGATGTGTTGTGAGTTTGCATGGTACCTTGCCTATTTCTGCGGCCAAGCAATAACGCAATCCGGCTTGGACGTCGAGACTGCCATATCTGGGGACGGTATTTGTAGCCACTTATCGAATAATTAGTTAAGGCTCACCTCTGATCCTCCCGGGCCCTCTTGAAGACGGTCCTCGCAGACTTGATTCCCTCCGCCCTCCTAGCGAACTTCATGTACTGTACATAGGCCAACGTAGGGTCGATGTCCTCTGTGTCCAGGTAGCGCGTGTAGACCTGGTGCACCTGGACACCAAGAAATCGTAGTTTTTAAGCTATTGCATAGCTTCTATCGCGGGCCTTGAGCGCGGCGACTGAATCAAGAAATTCCGTAACGAAAACAACATGACACCCCCCCACTACGCCTAGTATGTAGCTCGCGTTCAACAGATTCACACGTTGCGCTGGTGTAGTGTTTGTGAATACGCGGCGTGACGTCGCCCTGCATGAGCATCATGAAAAGTCCTACCACCTACGTCTGTCTCTGTCGTTGGCTACCAGCGAATAGAATGTACCCGTCTCGTTCTCTCGCAGGCTATCATCACCTATGTCTGTCTTTGTCGTTGCGTTACCTTGTGGTAGTGCAGCCTGCTCTCCTCGTAGTCGGCGTGTGCGAAGTGCAGCAGCGTGGAGTGCTTGAGGGGGCCGCTGGTGGCGCGCTCGTACACCGCCGCCGCTTCGTCAGAGAACAGCCGGGACGCATTCGAGTCCTGGGGCAACAACAGCATTGAGTTTTTTTATTGCTTAGATGGGTGAACAAGCTCACAGCCCACCTGTTGTTAAGTGGTTACTGGAGCCCATAGACAGCCACAATGCAAATGCGCACCCACCTTGAGATATAAGTTCTAAGATCCCAGTATAGTTACAACGGCTGCCCCGCCCCACATTTCAAACCGAAACGCATTACTGCTTCACGGCAGAAATAGGCGGGGCGGTGGTACCTACCCGTGCGAACTCACCAGAAATCCTACCACCATCAGTTTCCAATCAACGTCTACATTCGGTTAAGTTTTTTTTTAACTCTGGCAATTTTTTTTTTTTTTTTTTAAGTGATTTTATGACCTGGTAACTAAGACCTTTAAGTCATATCTTATTTTAATTTATATTCTTATTTTTATGAAAAATGATAATATGGAGTGAAATGAAATGAAAATGATTAATTTGAGACGTTAATCAACTGGGATGAAATTAAATGAAATGAGATGATATGGAATGAAATATAATCTTAGTAAAATGGTGGTCATTTACTAAGATTTTTTCAGTGGACTTTTTGGAGGATCCCGAGAAGTTGCGTCCAGCGGTTTTGTTTCATTTTCCCACATTTGTGCACTTTCACAGATATTAAACAGTTAATAAACCACCGTTATTACACATTTAAACCTGAAGAAACACTAAGTAGACAAAATAAAACAAATCACACAACTTCACTCCTCGCGTTCCCGCCAAAAAGTCCTTGATTTAACATTTAAGTTCATAGACATAGATTATACACTTAATATGTTCATAGATAATACAACTTACTTTTAAAAAGTCGATAAATTTGTCGACCGCGTATGTATGTAACTTTAATGTTATTTTAATGTTGACAAAAAACTGTCAAGTTAGTATTTTGGAAACAAATCTAGGTGANTCATCACGATGATAGCGACTCGGGTGATGAAAACAGTGATGATGATGATGGTCAAGATTATGATAACGAAAAAAAAATTACAAATACCAGCTTCGCTTCAACTGAACCAAGACCTGGCAACAGCTCTAGTTTTGACTTAATAGAAGGAATATCTATTTTACCCCAAGATTAAATTATTACAATTATTAACCTATATGTTTTGTTGATGTTCTAATAAATATATGAATAAATACATATGTTGATTTTAATAATTTAATAGCATTATGACGCAGAGTAAGTAATGTTTTTGCACGTGAGTGTACCATGCGCAAACTTACCCCCACTACGTCAACAAATGCTCAAGAAGTTTGCCGGCTATTATACAATAAAGCAACTTTTTCTTTCTCTCTCATTATTTGAGTTACCTGAATCGCCCTAATGACATTTGCGACTAAAGTTATATACAAGTTCCGCACACTGTTTCTTAATTCCTTCCTCAGTCTTTTATTAACGATATCTGTGGTAGGATGTGTTGTGAGTTTGCATGGTACCACCACCTGGCCTATTTCTGCGGCAAAGCAATAATGCAATCCGGCTTGGACGTCGAGGCTACCATGTCCGAAGACGGTATTGGTAGCCACTTGTCGAATAATTAATAAGGCTCACCTCTGATCCTCCCGGGCCCTCTTGAAGACGGTCCTCGCAGACTTGATTCCCTCCGCCCTCCTGGCGAACTTCATGTACTGTACATAAGCCAACGTGGGGTCGATGTCCTCTGTGTCCAGGTAGCGCGTGTAGACCTGGTGCACCTGGACACCAAGAAATCGTAGTTTTTAAGCTATTGCATAGCTTCTATCGCAGGCCTTGAGCGCGGCGACTGAATCAAGGAATTCCGTAACGAAAATAACCTGACACCCCCATTACGCCTACTATGTAGCTCGCGTTCAACACATTCACACGTTGCGCTTGTGTAGTGTTTGTGGATAAGCGCGCGGCGTGACGTCGCACTGCATGAGCATCATTAAAAGTCTGCCCATCTCTCTCTCACGCGGTCTAGCTTATGAGTGTGAAGGGGACAGTTAATGTTTTGCTTTTGTTAATGTTTATAAATATAGCGTGGTCTTATTTTTATTATTGTTTTAATATTAAATTATTATTGTCTAATTGTAATTGAATAAGTTGATAAAAAATGCTTTGCAATAGCTTTACCGCGGCAGTCCCCGAGTGCCACACGTCTTTTTTTTTATTGCTTAGATGGGTGGACGAGCTCACAACCCACCTGGTGTTACATGGTTACAGGAGCCCATAGACATCTATAATATAAACGCCGACATCCACCTTGAGATATGAGTTCTAAGGTCTCTCAGATTGAGCCCGTGAGCTCACCTACCCGCACGTAGCTAGGATGTATCCCGTCTCATTCTCTCGCAGGCTACCACCACCTATGTCTGTCTCTGTCGTTGGCTACCAGCGAATAGAATATACCCGTCTCGTTCTCCCGCAGGTTATCATCACCTACGTCTGTCTCTGTCGTTGCGTTACCTTGTGGTAGTGCAGCCTGCTCTCCTCGTAGTCTGCGTGTGCGAAGTGCAGCAGCGTGGAGTGCTTGAGGGGGCCGCTGGTGGCGCGCTCGTACACCGCCGCCGCCTCGTCAGAGAACAGCCGGGACGCGTTCGAGTCCTGGGACAACAGCAGCATTGGGTTTTTTTATTGCTTAGATGGGTGAACAAGCTCACAGCCCAGCTGGTGTAAAATGGTTACTGGAGCCCATAGACACTACAACGTAAATGTGCCACCCACCTTGTAACCTACCTAAAAACCGTTTTAATATTTCGCTTTGATGAAGGTGGACTCACCCCCTTCTCCTGCAGCAGCTTGGAGGAGTGGTCGAGGAACTGCGCGGCCTGGTGCCACACGTCCGGGTGGTGCGCCAGACACAGCAGGCACTGCTCGATGGCGAACATCACGCGCCGCGCCACCAGCGCCGTGTCCTCGGAGCGGAGGGGGTTCGCGCGCTCCCACGATATGTACTTCTTCCATAACTCCACCTAAGTTATTTGGGATTATATATATTTATATTACTGGTGATAGGACCTCTTGTGAGTCCGCGCGGGTAGGTACCACCGCCCTGCCTGTTTCTGCCGTGAAGCATTAATGCGTTTAGGTTTGAAGAGCGGGGCAGCCGCTGTAACTATACTGAGATCTTAGAACTTATATCTCTAGGTGGGTGGCGCATTTACGTTGTAGATGTCCATGGGCTCCAGTAACCACTTAATAGCAGGTCGGCTGTGAGCTCGTCCACCCATTCGCGCAATAAATAAATAAAAACCTTTACATTAAATCCGGTGTAACTGGGAACGAATCACGCACGGTCATCCGTTCCTACTGAAGCTGATAGCCTTGAGAGGCTATGTCAGCTTAACCTTAACTAGCAGGTGAGCTCACGGGGCTCAAACCTGACGACGTTGCTAACACGAACCCTAGCAAGAGCCGTGCTTCGCAGAATCTACCACCGGATCGGAAACGCGACCCACTGAGAAGATCCGGTGAGAAACTCAGTGGGCTGTGTCTGTGGGTTAATTTACTTGTCGAGCCCATCGTCGCAAGCGACGGGTTCGACGAGAACAATGACCGGTGCTTGAGGTACCTAAAAGCACCGATAATGGATCGGGAAGTTCCGTAATGACGTTTAGGGCTAGGTTTTTTTTAGTAATGCAATATATTTTTTATGAAACTATCGTCTCATTTAGCTGTGCTAACATGATAGAGCGTAAATAATGCTAATAAAATGTTTTAAAAATATTTTCCGTCCCATCGTCAAAGGTGTCATTGGTACTATCGTCTGTCTTCGTTTTGGGAAGCGGTCTCCTAACACCCAGTATACTTAGTCTGGCCATAAATACTGTTGTATGGAGCCAAATGCAATTTTTAAAACTCTCCATACACTTAGTATTAGTAAAATGTTTGTGTACCGGGCTATTAATGAGACCTCCTCTGCTTGTGACAGAAAAAGATCTGGCCGTCCACGTAGTGTTCGTACGAAAAAGGTGGTCAAAGCAGTAAGGGAAAGAATTCGAAGAAATCCTGTCCGAAAGCAAAAGATTTTATCTCGGGAGATGAAGATAGGCACCTACAATCATGTCGCGTATTTTAAATGATGACTTAGGACTTGCAGCCTATAAGAGAAGTACTGATCATTTCTTAATTGATAATTTAAAAGAGAATAGGGTGGTAAAATCGAAACAACTACTGAAGCGGTACGCAAAGGGAGGTCATAGAAAAAATTTGTTTACGGATGAGAATTTTTTTACAATTAAGCAGCATTTTAACAAACAAAATGACCGTATTTATGCTCAAAGCTCTAAGGAAGCTTCCCAATTAGTCGACAGAGTGCAACGTGGGCACTATCCGACTTCAGTGATGGTTTGGTGGGGTACTAGCTATGAAGGAGTGACTGAGCCATACTTTTGTGAAAAAGGTATCAGAACGTCAGCACAAGTGTATCAAGATACCATTCTTGGGAAGGTAGTGAAGCCCCTTAACAAAACCATGTTCAATAATCAAGAATGGTCCTTCCAGCAAGACTCGGCGCCAGGTCGTAAAAAGCTCGGTCTACGCAGTCTTGGTTTGAAACAAACGTTTCGGACTTCATCAGAGCTGAAGACTGGCCGTCGTCTAGACCCGATCTTAATCCGCTGGATTATGATTTATGGTCAGTTTTAGAGAGTACGGCTTGCTCTAAACGCCATGATAATTTGGAGTCTCTAAAACAATCCGTACGAATGGCAGTGAAAAATTTTCCCATGGAAAGAGTGCGTGCTTCTATTGATAACTGGCCTCAACGCTTAAAGGACTGTATTGCAGCCAATGGAGACCACTTCGAATAAGGTTTTTATACTTTAAATTGTTTTATATTTATGTATTAAACTAACACACTGTAAAAGTAATAAATGTTATTTGCAATAGAATTTTTTAAATTTTTTATTGTAAAAGTATTTATGGCAAGACTAGGTATATATATATATATATATATATGTGTGTGTGTGTGTGTGTGTGTGTGTGTGTGTATACGCACTTGTTTCATCTCCTCGCGGTCGACGGTGGGCGGCGTCGCAGGCATGTTCCTGTTGAGTCCCCGGGTGACCGTCTCCAGCTCCTTGGAGACTCGTCTCGCGTTCATGTACTCCCGTGAACGCTCCATGGCCATCCTTTCGGCTGTTTAGAACGAAAAAAATGTGAAATGCGAAAAACGAAACTATGTCACAGGACTTGGCTCTTCGGGTTAGAACCCAAAAGATTTTTATTTTATTGCATAGATGGTAGTAAGATGGTTACCGAAGCCCATAGACATCTATAGCGTAAATGCCACCACCCACCTTGAGATATAAGTCCTAAGATCTCAAGTATCGTTACAACGGCTGCCCCACACTTTAAACCGAAACGCATTACTGCTTCACGGCAGAAATAGGCGGGGCGGTGGTACCTACCCGTGCGGACTTACAAGAGGTCCTACCACCCGTAGGTGGTAAATGTTAAGGTTAAGGTTAAATCTCAACATCATGCTGTCCACTTACCGATTATCGGGTTGATGCTTTGCTCGAAGGCTATATAGTCCTTCCACAGCGTCTCTATGCCTATTATGGGCGTTATGACCGCTCTCTGATAGATCTGAAATTTAGAAACCACGATCATTGTCCATTATGCGAAATGAGACTTCGGTTCTCTCTGTATTTTGTACCGTATGCTCCATGGATCTTCTCTTGTTTGAGATGACCGCTTCGTTTTTACAATCGCCCAGTCCGTCACCGGAGTCCAGTTCATCTATACCACCTACAACCACTGTGTTCATCCACAGTACGTTTCCAGAAATCTTTTTTTGCCACACACCATCTGGCTTTGAAATAAGCTCCCCTCCACGGTGTTTTCCCGAGCGCTATGACATGTCCTTCTACAAACGAGGCTTGTGGAGAGTAATAAACGGTAGGTAGCAGCTTGGCAGCCTGACATTGATGTTATCCATCCATCCCTGCCTACATAGGGAAATACAAAAACGGGTTCGTCCGAATACCGCAATGTACCGCAAACGTTCTGATACCTTTCGAACTGCGGATATCTTCTGGTTCTCGGCGTATGAACCAACGGCTTCGACACTCTTCAGAAACGTCACGTAGTCGTTCCATATTGGGTACGCGTGGATGTCCAGACCTATCTTGTCCAGGGCGAAGTCGTAGGCCTGCGCCATTTTCTCCCTGAAAATCGTTTGACGCTTTGAAGTTTTGCCTTATGTTATGAAGCCGCTGACAGGGTAACATTACACGTCATTACGGATCCTCCCGATTAACTGTGCTTTTAGGTACCACAAGCACCGGTCACCGTCCTCGTCGAACACGTCGCTTGCGACGAAGGGCTCGACGAGCGAATTAACCCATAGACACAGCCCACTGAGTTTCTCGTCGGGTTTTTCTCAGTGGGTCGTGTTTCCGATCCAGTGGTAGATTCTGCGAAGCACTGCTCTTGTTAGGGCCAGTGTTAGCAACACTCCGGTTTGAGCGCCGTGACCTCACCTACGTGTTAGGGCGAAGCTAAAATAGCCTCTCAAGGTTATCGGCATAGGTAGGAACAAAAAGGAGTAGCGTGGATGTGAAATTGGAAACCACAATATCCTTTAATACGAAATCGTAAAAGCTCTTTATTCGTGTAGTATACGTTCCGTGAATATGCGCCGAATACAGAAACCGTGAAGATGGCATGGCATTTACAAATGACATTCGGTTGGATAACTAAATATTAGAATCCTTCAAATGTGTATGTACCGATTCATTGATTAGATCCGCGAATAAAGATGTCTTTACTCACGAACTTAGGAATTTGGGTCGCATTTTTTTAATCGGCGAATAGTGAAAGGCGAATGACCGAAGCTACTATACTCCCCCCTATCACCATTAAATTAGGAGGAACAATTTATAAATTGTTTTGGTTGGGTCAGAAGGACCTTGACTTCCGTGTGAGCTTTGGAAGGCTATACTTTCGCGCGGAGACCATATCTTTCGGCCTCACTGCCCTCCCGGAACGGAACGCAGAACCACTTATATTTAGCAATACTGGGGGCCCGAAGACCAGTTCGTTTTGTTTTGATAACAGCCTGCTGAGTCTTCGAAAGAGACCTAGCTGTCCTCGATCGAGTTGATCGAGGACAGCTGCATCGCGCCTACTTCCGGAACGGAATCGCGACCCGCTGAGAAAATCCGGCTACAAACTCAGCGAGCTCATGCATGAGCTCTGAGCTGTGATCACTTCGAATACTCAACCAAGTACGGTTACAGTTACCAGGACTCCTCCTAATAGGCAGCATAACAGCAGGCATAAGAGGTTTTTCTGCCCTGTTAGAGCTGGGAGCTTCTATAAAATGTGTTAGCGGAACGGGTGGTTTCGCAATGACGTGTAAACACATCGTGCAGCTTGACAATGTATTTTATTCTAAGCCATGTAACAAGCATAGCGCGATTCCGAAAACAAATAACGCCATCTATCGATAAATGCTTTATACGCGCTGAACTTCAATAACCTTAAGCTTTGGTTATTTTAAAAAGGTCTAATAAGATAAGGTAAAAACCAATTTTCAAAATTTAACTAGTCCTATAATCATATCGAGGGGTGGAAGGCTGCTTGGTTTAAACGACATTTCACCTAATCCACGACATTTATCTTTGTAATTAAAGGTCAGTTTTATTTGGTATATGAGCATCAACAGTTCGATGTTTTTAAATGAACTTCAATTAAGTTTACCCCATTTAAATATCTGAATAAGTTTTTTCTTATGATATTTTTCCAAATTTTAAATAGCTCTCCTGTGAAGTTCAAATAGCTGAACAAGATTTTTTTTCGTTATGATATTTTTTCCAAATTTACAGTTGCAAAAATGGCGTTTAAACCAAATACTCATTCACCCCTCGATATTATGTATACTAAAGACATCAGGAGCTAAATTAAGATGGCATCCTTATAAACATTTAACTCTGTTAACTTTCATATTTCAATGTTATAAATATCTGATACGAATCAATGCAATAAAGAGCCACGATTCCAAAAAAAAAAATACACAAATTAATAACGATTTTTAATCTACCTCACAATGGTGCTATCTTGTATTGATTCTCCTACAAACAATTATACAAAAACATACGTACTTGTAAGTGGGTAGCATGCACTTCGTCTCCTTGACGTAGTTCAGGTACAGCCTCCAGAGTTCGATGTTTAATATCTTCATCAGACACCTCTGGAAGAGCTGGACGCGTCGGAAACAATGGTCGAGTTTAGGAAATAATAAAAAAATAAAATATATTTTTTTAATCTTCAATGTACACCAAACGAGCAATGGATTCGAAAAAAATATACAGGGTGCTACATAATTGTTCACGGAACCAAAGAGGTAACCATTTACTACCCTCATCATCGCGAGTTCCGTTCAAACGTGTTTAAGAGCGCTCAAGCTTTTATCTTTCAATGGTAAAAGCTCATCAAAAATGTTTACCTAACAAACTCTCCCACAAATTCATTCCTAGCATCCTGGCAAAATGTATAAACGCGTCTTGGTAATAAAGTCCTTTGTTCTGTGATTCCTATTGAGTCTGCGATCTAGGTACAGATAGGTTCGATCACGATCACCCATGGACATCAGTGACGCCAGAGGCACTGTACAAACCTCTTTGGAAAACGGGCACCCTCAGTCAAACTAAATCCCTATAATCTATTGGAATTGGCAATGTCTCCTCCTGGTATGCTATCTAACTCTTAACTCTTCTTAAGTATGAGGTGTCGGGCCGACTTCAGTGTGCTTAGTGCGATGCTCTTGATCACGTAAAATTTAAATCTAATTTGTGTGGAGCTGAAACAGCGCCCCTAGCGGCAAACGAAGGGAACCTGTTTCAACTCCGTACAAGTTTAAAGGCTTCGTCAAACAGAGCGCGTAATTAGCGCGCGTCAGAGCGCTAAAGTAACGGCGCGCTGTGACGCCGAGATGTGTTGTACTACTATGGTAACATACCGTCAAACAGAGCCCCAGCGCTATAAGTACGCAACGCTCTGTCGCGGCGTTAGGACGCTTTGATGTGTATTAAAATACTAGTTAATGCCCGAAAATTTTATAGAAATAGTTAGAAAATACCCATACTTATACAATGCCACATCAGAATCACTCGACATCTTAATACTTTTAAATTTTCACACTGCTATCGAAAGGCACTATAATTTGGGGAATGCGTTGCGTCAAGTAGCGTTGGACTCATCTAGTCAATTTGTGTAACATGAAAAGAGCGCGACGTTAAAACGCAGCGCTAAGTACGCATTCTGTTTGACGAAGCCAAGTTAACTTTTACGCGATCGAGAGCGTTAAAAAACTCACACTAAGCAGGCAGAGACCAATATAGGCTAATATCACCTTAAAGTATATGCGAACCCTCAGAGACAAGACTGAAATCTCCAGTTCCTCTACCCCTCAAAACTGGGTGATTCGTTCTCAGCGAAGGAAAACTGTATCTGTATTTTTGTAACTGTATTTTTACTGGTGGTAGGACCTCTCGTGAGTCCGCGCGGGTAGGTACCACCACCCTGCCTATTTCTACCATGAAGCAGTAATGCGTTTCGGTTCCAAAGGTGGGGCAGCCGTTGTAACTATACTTGAGACCTTAGAACTTATATCTCAAGGTGTATGGCGCATTTGCGTTGTAGATGTCTATGGGCTCCAGTAACCACTTAGCACCGGGTGGGCTGTGAGCTCGTCCACCCAACTAAGCAACAAAAAAAAAATCTAACCGGATCCACAACGTCCTCTGCTATATAATGAAGAAGACACTGTTTAATCCTTTGTGATCTGATGTGGATATTGTCATATCGAGGGGCGCCAGGGTATTTGATTCAAGCTACATTTTAGCAACATTACAGGAGAGCCATTTAAAGTTTAAAATTGGGGAAAAAATCATAACAATATCTTCTTCAGCTATTCGAATGGGGTAAACTTAATTGATGTTCAATTAAAAACCTCGAATTGTTGATATTAATAACAAATAAACCGGACCTTTAATTACAAAGATAAATGTGCGTATTAAGCGAAATAAAACTTACGGCTTAAACTAAATAGCCTTCAAATCTCGATATGGTTTATGCAGATAATCCACTGTCTACCGAAGAACTCCAGAACTGAAGGTCAGGTCACGGCATTTTCACGTTCTTACTGGTGGTAGGACCGATCGTAGTCCGCGCGGGTAGGTACCACCACCCCGCCAATTTCTGCCGTGAAGCAGTAATGCGTTTCGGTTTGAAGGGTAGGGCAGCCGTTGTAACTATACTTGAGACCTTAGAACTTATATCTCAAGGTGGGTGGCGCATTTACGTCATAGATGTCTATAGGCTCCAGTAACCACTTAACACCAGGTGTGAGCTCGTCCCACCCCTCTAAGCAATAATAAAAAAACTTGTATGTAGTTGGCGGTTGTTCGCCTGAGTGTACCAGCCTCACTACAAACCCGGAGAAGTGGCGATTGCTCGTGAGGCGCATAACATCTGCCCACAGCAATGATACTAAATGACAACCACGACCGCTCTGACAAGAGTGATACGACAAGGTGTTATAAATTCTTGTACGTGTTTTTATTTAAAGAGGCTTGAATAAATATTATTATTATTATTTATTTATATTTATTTAAAATTTTATTAATTACACAATATTTTTTAAAAAAGATATTAAAAATACAATTTTTTTAAAACAATATAAAAATAGATTGCCGCTGATGGCGGTGTCTACGGTTTGTTCGTAGTTCGTCTTCTGTCCTATATTAGACGTTGCAGGTTTAAAATTTGTTTCTTCTGTATTCTGAAGGAAGTTTGATGATGGATAAAGGCAAGTTTTAAAATTTTCAAACCCTATTCTACCTGTGTACCTGCTTATTCATTTTGACTTAGCCAATGTGAAGGAGGAGGGTAGAAGTAAATGGAGTAATTTTGTACCTATAAGGACTTTTTGGCGGGAACGCGAGAAGTGAAGTTGTGTGATTTGTTTTATTTGTCTATTTTTTTGTGTGTGAAGAGCGGACGATTACCGTGGTATGGACATGTGATGCGTAGAGGAGATGCATGTGACTAGGAAATGTACGGAAATAGTAGTGCAAGGTAGAGGGGGAAGAGATCGATCGAAGAAAACTTGGATGGAGTGTGTGAATGACGATATGAGAGAGAAAGGAGTGTTGAGATGACGGCTGATAGAAGAGAATGGAATAGAAAAATTTGCTACGCCGACTCTACCTAGTGGGATAAGGTGGAGAAAAAGAAGAAGAGTGTTTCTTCAGGCTTAAATGTGTAATAAATATGTTTTATTAACTGTTTAATATCTGTGAAAGTGCACAAATGAGGGAAAATGTAACACAGCCGCTGGACGTAACTTCTCGGGATCCTTCAAAAAGTCTAAAATTCCAGTAAATGATCACCACTTTACTGAGATTATATTTCATTCCCATATCATCTCATCTCATTTCATTTAATTTCATCCCAGTTGATTAATATCTCAAATTAATCACCTTCGTTTCATTTCATTTCACTTTATATTATCATTTTTCATAAAAAAATAATATAAATTAAAATAACCTAAAGGTCCTATGACATATGACTTAAAGGTCTTAGTTACCAGGTCATAAAATCCCTTAAAAAATTGTACCTATACAAGATTATTCCTTTTACTTCTTCAATTTGTCCCCTAGGACAAATCCTAGTGTCCGTCTGTAAACGGAAAGTTGTTGTTGGAAGACTCACCGAAATAGCGCTAGTGTATGAAGTGGAAATGATATGAATATAGCAGTTTTAAATAGTGAAGTGTGCTGGGTTGAAATATGTAATATTTTTCGTGTACGGGTAGTAAAAAAATATGCAGTATTTAAAATCTCAACTATTAATTTTTATTACGTTTCACGTAGGAAGTGTTTCATTCCTTCTTAATTTAGTATCACACTTCAATAGTTTATAGCGCTGTTTTTTAAATCCTTCCACTTGCGACTGTGGCGCCACCTAATTGGATACCTTTCAGGGAGCACTTTTGCACTGAGTTGGTACTCCCTACTTCTACCCCCCATAATTTGATATTAAATTATAAAGCTAACTTCTTATCGGTTTCGACATTTTTTTTCTTCATAGTTCAGAACGACCAATACGTCGCAAATGTTACAACAGCTAAGTCTTTCAGCCTAAAACTTAATGTATTTTTAAGAGACTATTAACTTTCTATAATTTTGTAAAACAGTATATTTATTGCTAGTTAAAGTTAGAGGCTGGATATAATTCATCCGTTTTTTAATACGCTTTTTCGTTAGCTCGGTATGTTTGTTTGCATGTGTGTAAGTATATTTATTGCTAGTTAAAGTTAGAGGCTGGATATAATTCATCCGTTTTTTTAATACGCTTTTTCGTTAGCTCGGTATGTTTGTTTGCATGTGTGTACCAGGATCGTTAAACCTCATTTTCACTGACTCCATAACGTTCAATTAACTTCAGAATCCGCACGCCAATGAAGGATCAAAGATCAATGACGATGCAATAATTTTCAAGCTTTCTCTAACCGTAATCAGCAATGTAAAAATCTATTGTTGAAATTAATTGTTAGTTCGATATGCTATTTAAGCTACTTTTTATTTTGTATTTAAACTAGACATCGAGGGGAAAGGCTATTTGTTTTAAGCTACATTCATATCTTATACCTTTATACGAGCAATTCTTGTATATTAATAAATATATGTACATAATCTGAATCTCGGAAACGGCCCCAAGGATTTTCATAAAATTTAGTATACGTGGGATTTCGGGGGCGATAAATCGATCTAGCTACGATTTATTTTCAGAAAATGTTATTTTATTCGTATTTTCAATAATCAACTCTTCCCGACATCTATTGGCGAATAATAATACTATTTTTCTTAATTGAGGGCAACTAACCAAGATGGCGTTATCAAAAAAAAAACCGAGCAAAGCTCGGTCATCGTCTAGTTTATAATTAAAGGCGCATTTTATTTGGTATTACCATCAACAGTTCGACGTTTTTAATTGAGCTTCAATTAAGTTTACTTCATTCAAGTAGCTGAAGATGTTTTTTGTTATGTTCTTTTTATCCAAAATTGAACAATTTTTTTTTAAAAAAACCTATTTTTTTACAACAAAGCACTGCCCTCACTAGGGCTAATCGTGTTAGCAGTCTCCAATGGCCGAGCCCCGTGAGCTTGCCTACACGTCCGGCGAAGCTATCCGAAAAAATGCCGAAAATATAGCACCGCTATTAATTATTAGCATAACGCTATTTAATTCCGTTATAATTTTATATGAGGCTAAATTCGCCACTAGTTACACAGATATCATTGGCCAAAAAAAAATATTATTATGATCCAGTTCGGTTGTATTTTTTTTAACAATGGCATTTTAAAATGAAATCTTTGTGCAGATGTAGAACCTGAGGTCTCGTTTCAAAACTATCTAATTAATTCTAAAATTACTATTAAATATTCAAATGGGGTTATTTTACATGTCAAAAGTGACCTTCGGAGGCGAAATCGATTAATTTCATATAGGGTTAATTTTTTTTTTTTTATTTGCTCTCTTTTCCCCTTTCGCCATGGAAAGTCTCCTCCGTCATGTCTGAACACATAGACACCCTAACCGAAAAAAAAGATGATTTTCAATTCAGCAATTACACAGCTTTATTTCATTTAACACAACTAATTATTTTTTATATAAAACTATCATAGACATTCTTTTGGAAATATCGTCTAGGTATGCCACGCACCAGCATACTGTAATTAAAATATAGTATTTGTCTATTTCTATTTTTGCCTATAGTTAATATCACAGATAGCTTTGTGTTTTTTTTTTAAACTTACTCTCTTTGTATACTGACCTTTTCGACTCTTTCAAAATTTCTCGCTTTCATCTGAAATTATTATAATTTTAAATTATTGTTTAAATTAATTAATAACTACATTACATTCTTTTTTTTTATCTCCTATCCTATCTTATCATAATCTTATCCTACATATTAAAATCTAAATTTTACAAGAAAGATTTAAATGAATCTTCATTTATTACGTGAAGTTTAGTTAGAGAATATTATAAAGTGAAACTAGTGGTCTCACAATACAGACATTGTCTTGAGGCAATGATAAAGCTACCAACCATCGTTATTCATTTGGACATATCATAAGGACACAGCATGAACTGCCCACTGCAGTTTGAAGGATTGCTCTTAAAAGGTTTGAAGGGTGGGGCAGCAGTTGTAACTATACTTGAGAGCTTAGAACTTATATCTCATGGTGGGTGGGGTAGCCGTTGTAACTATACTGAGACCTTAGAACTTAGATCTCAAGATGGGTGGCGCATTTACGTCGTACATGTCTATGGGCTTCAGTAACCACTTAACACCAGGCGGGCTGTGAGCTCATCCACCTAACAAAAAAAAAACTATGCTCTTACAAACCCATGTCTGAAGAGGTACATTTAATCTTGCTTATAATTACCTCCTGTTCGATGTATATTTTCCAGTAACGTCCTGTGGTCGGGAATGCCGTTATCAACTTCTCATACATGGTTCGGACATCGTTGATGTTTCGGGCCTGGGCTTCTCTCACTAGCAATGACCAAGAGTCCACATCGTATATGTTGGCTTCGACTGCACGCTGGGCGCGGGATAGACGTTCATTACCCCAATCCTAGCCAAAAACATGACGAAATACAAACATTAATTTGTTTATAAAAATAATTTTATGGTAATTTTGCTAAACAATTCTTAAATTACACAATATATAATTTAGACGACTCATTTACATTGAGTTAATGGGCTCTAGCAAAATTTTGTAACATATACAAGTATCAATTGCAATCAATACAATATGTTCAATCATTATTTTATGTAATAAATAGATAGATGCATCAGCAAAACCCTTAATGTCTACATCTCAATATATACAAATATATACACACAATTTGAAGGGACTGGTCTAGGAAGATAACATAGATATAACTTATATCCTAGAACAATTATTGTAGTTTGTAAGCTGCTTATTATTACTTCACGAGTAAGGGGCAACATGACTGGCATCATCATCATCATTCTTTCCTATTACCCTCTGCTGGGGTGTAAGGATCGAATCAAATTTTTCCATTTATATCGAAAAATTTATATTTATATTTTTTTCAACATGACTGGCATTATTACTAAAAATTTCAAAAGAGATTGAAATCATTAATTTATCGGTAGGGTGTTTATAAGTCGATATGGCTAGGTGCCAACATCAGGTAACTGCTTTGATGTAATTAACAAAAAGCTTGAAAAGTTAGACATTTCCGATTACTCTGTTTTCAATAACATTAAAACTTCTCTGAATTCTCTACTGATTTCATTTACTCTATTTCATTTATAACTGCAGATGAGCGATTGGGCTCACGGTCTGCATGTGGTATTCAATATTTACTAGAGCCCATAACAAAATAAAAACCACTACAATACAATATAATACAAAATATGTTTCATGATATCGAACTGTTGTACTTTTTATACATACATACATACATACATACACACAAACTTTTTATACAGTCTTAATTACATCTAACTTCTTAGATAACCTCTTAGACAGTTATAAAGTATAATGAGGCTTCAATGGGGTATCTAACTCATTTTAAGAAGCTAAACAGCTAATTGGCGTTTTTAAAATATGGATTAGAGTAATGTAGGATCTAGGTACTACAATCTAGTTTTCTCTTGAAAAATTGTAATGATTTTAATTAGCAGACAGCTAGTTCCAATGTAATCGCTTGTAATGTTGGTTTAGTGGCTGATTATTAGTTAACGTTACTACAGGTCGAAGTTAATGTTATTTAATGGCTTCCGGTTTTGGAGCGCGGTCGCAACTCTCTCGTGTTTTCGGTATCTATAAAACTAAGTATCCTCTTTTTTTTTTAATTGACTCGTTCAGAACTACACAACAGTTGATTGCTAATACATGAACTTATTATATACACAAAATACAGTAATATCAAATCAAAAAAGAAAACCTTTGTTCTTTTAGTTTTTAATTATATTCAACTAATGCGAATAATGCGTAAAAACTCACAATGTCGGCGATTTCATCTACAGATGCCATTTTGAAGTTTACGTTTGAGGTTATCTATCTGGTTTTAAGTCCGAGCAACAGTTTTTCGAAGAATTAAGTAAATGAGGTACTGTTTGTTGGTGGACACATTACTCTCAGTGTTAGAATCGATTTAAAACAATAAAAAAAACACAATTTTCTTTAAAAAATTATACAACTCAACCAAGCTGAAGCGGCATTAGCGGACGCTATAGATTATAGCATAGATTATACACTTAATATATTCGAGAGATTATAGTTTATACAATTTTATGACCTGGTAATTAAGATCTTTAAGTCATGTCTTGTTTTAATTTAGTTTTATGAAAAATGTTAATATGTAGTGAAATGAAATAAAATGAAGATGATTAATTTTAGATATTAATCAGCGGGGCAGCCGTTGTAACTATACTGAACCTTAGAACTTATATCTCAAGGTGGGTGGCGCATTTACGTTGTAGATGTCTATAGGCTTCAGTAACCACTTAACACCAGGTGGGCTGTGAGCTCTTCCACCCACTTAAGCAATAAAAAAAAAGACATGGTGCTCCTGCACAAAACTAACAAATTTACGGAAAATACCGATTCACACCGCTGCAAACGCTATTGGCATTGACATTTTATGATTTTGACTTTGAGTTATAAATGACATTAAATTGAAGAACCCAAGCCAAATTACTGTTTCAGCGCGTTTTCAAACAAACAAAACGAAAAATGTTGTTTTACTCGTTTTTCAAATCGTTAGTCGGTAAGGATGTAGTCGTCGAGCTGAAAAATGACCTCAGCATATGTGGGACGTTGCATTCTGTGGATCAATATCTCAATATAAAGCTTTCGGATATAAGCGTGATTGACTCTGAAAAGTATCCTCATATGTTATCAGTGAAAAATTGTTTTATAAGAGGCTCCGTGGTTCGATACGTACAACTGCCGGCTGATGAGGTAGACACCCAGCTTCTCCAGGATGCCGCTAGAAAGGAGGCGACCGTTTCAACAAGATAGAACTTAACCTAACCTACAACTTCAATTTAAAGTGTACATATTAATATAAGCTTAAGTTTCTTAATAAATCATTCTTATAATATAGTGTTTTAGTAGCGGTCTCCGGATATTCATTTCAGAAAAGAAAGTTTCCTTTGATCGAAAAATAACCTAGTTCTTCAGTTTTATGTAAGTTTTATACCAGAGTATGAAAGAATAATTTATCAATAAAAAACATCTATATTTTTACCATTCTCAAAAATGTATCACAGAAAAAAGTTTTTATTACCTTTCACATCAAACTATACTGATAATTATTAGACATAGCTGCATTCCTTAATACTTAAGCCTTTTTTCAAACCAGAATTGATTTAGATCTCTAGTGTACATAATTTGGATGTAAATATTTACAAAGCTGTTATTTTGGATTTTTAAGATATACTTTTTCTGAAGATGGCCATGTCATAGTTTTCCATAGGCAGAAGGGATTGTAAAAGCATCATTAAAATATGTTGCTTGCCAAACACTGAACCTTCCTGAAACCTGAACCTTTTAAACCTTCTCTGGACTTCACGAATAATTCAAGACCAAATTTAGCCAGATCGGTCTAGCCGTTCTCGAATTTTAGCGAGACTAATGAACAGCAATTCATTTATATATATATATAACTAGATAGATTACAGAAATATATAGATAGAAACATAATTTTAAAACTACATTTGTTGTAAGTTTCCGTTACATATTGAAATTTTGTTAGTGAAAATATGATAAATGAACACCTTTCTAATCTATGTACAATATTTTTTTAAAGTACCGTACCTATGTACCGTACATTATTTTCATTATTTCAATATAGACTACATCGCATTACTCCTGGACTTCTATGCTAAATTTTTTTTTGTGGGCGAATTCGAGTAGACGTATAACATTCGTGAAGAGTTAGGTACCGAACAATGCGTATTTTTGTATAGGTACAATTTATAGCAGTTATTTCACAAAGTCGCTGGAATATTATTTTCAAAGAATATTCTGATATTTACTTCGGCTTTCGCGAGTGTAGTCTCAATTAAATATACTTTTGCAGTTCTACATTTAAATATAAATATAGATTTATAATCTTTATTACAAAATTAATATAAAGTAATATCTACATATATCTATTTTAAATCACTGGTTTCTTAGATCAAATTGATTTGTGACATAAAAAAGCAAAAGCTTAATGTTTGACAGCTATCGCCATTTTCCATACCATACTTAAAATACATCTACCATAATGGTAGATTATATATTCATACTGGGAAAATCTCACAGTATTTCTTAAAAGCCTTAATTAAAAATAGTAGTATAACAGATATGTAGAAAATCTTTTCTTTTCTTAATCTTAAGAGACAGTTTACTTATTAGCTACAACTTCAACGAATTATCTGGCTTGAATCGATTACCGGAATCTGTAGACATCACAACATATTTGTCATTTCTGTCATCCAACAAAATTACATTCTCAATTGCTTAAGAGTACTGCTTAGAGTAAATTTTACTCACGGTTCAATATTTATCTTTTAATGGTTCCTTGAATATTTTGAAAATAAAGCAGAATCCGGGCATCCACATACGGTAGGCAGCGGCTTGGCTCTGCCCCTAGCATTACTTAAGTCTATGGATAACGGTAGCCACTCAACTTCAGGTGGGCTGTACGCTTGTCTACCTACAAGGGCATGTAGTACCGTATAGTTTTAAATGTTTTAATGAAAATTGTGAATCATCTTTGAGAAATGGTATAGTCGAATTTATATCGGTAAATTTAATTGTAATTTAAAATTACATTAATATCGACGCTTGAAAGGCAAATGTAATGTAATTAAGCGACAATAACTGCTATATACAGAAATGATTGGTAATAACCATATTCGATGCGCAAAAAATACATATTTCTAGATCTAATAAAATTATTTCAATCCTACAGCTAGATTCGTTAAAATAGATTTTTGTTCAGGTATTTCAACTTTAAATTAGTCTACTGTAAAGTTCACGCATTGTCACTGAGTCACGTTTGCCTTTCAAGCGTCGATATGTTGGGTTTAATTTTTTTATGTCAAGAAAACATCACATTTAATAAAATTGGTATTAGAACTCTCATTTTTTACATCAGGTTACTTCGTTGTGTAGGGCACAGTAACAGTACTGATATTGACGCGGTTTTTTTTCCTTTTTACATGTATCTGTTTGATATGAGATCTCAGAAAATTAAAGACACATTTGAGTCCTCTAATAACAAAGGCAATCTGTGCATTGGGACAAAAAAAATTATTGATATGTCAATACAGATTGATTTGAATATAATCGTCTCCTTCAAAGAATACGGTTCAAAACCTGCATTAAATAAAGGTTAATACTTAACCTGTTATTTATCTAAGATGTCGTTCAGAAGTGTTTTGTGACTGCCAATGAAATACAAAGTCAATAATTCGTTTTTCTGATTTACCAATAATTGTCCAAAAGTCACATTGCCGGCTTTGATAATAGTCGACTCATTTACAACAATGAAATTAGAAACGTCCAAAATGATTTAATTTAGTAGTAGAAAAAGTGACTCATACTTGACAACTCAGAAGTTTCATTCATACAAAATGCCAAACTTTCAATTTTCAAGCTTTTCGATGTTCTTGTTCTCCAATCTCTGTCCGCTGGGTTCGCTCGTTTTCTGTTCGTTGTTTGTAACTCGCTAAAGGCAAAGAGAATACAAACGCTACGATAGGATCGAAATTCCCGATGAATAGATCATTCTCTCACGGTTATTTTCGTCGCGAGTGATGCAACTGCCTAATAGTTAATTCTAAATTGTGTATTAAGTTTAATAAATTTTTAGTTAACTTAAATTCCCTAACATGTGATTATGAATGTAAATATTTAAAAAAAAAATCGCACGAAATGGACGTGAAAGGTTCTTATTGTGGGTGTAATGTGGCTGTGTGATGTGAGCTTCATTCTAGGCTGTATATTGTTTGAGGACAAAGTGTTTTTCAGCGTTTCTTTTGCACATTTCAACGGAATTCCAAAAAAGTAAGTTCGAATTATTTTCATTCATTCAATTTACGAATTTAAATTTGGATTTGGATCAAAATATTTTAACTATATATATATATTTGTGTAATAAAAAAAATTAATAGCTGAAGTGAATCAATAATTTTACAGTTATCAAAACTTAATCATTAGGGTCAGTTGATTTGGACAGCTTAATAAATTCGAATCAGTAAGGTACTTAAAATATATCAAGAAAAATATAATAATATAATAATATAAAATATATAAAGAAATTATTCATTTTTTTTTTATTTGTAGTATCTGTTAGGACATTTTGTAGGTGGGGCAGTATATTACCATACAAAGTAATTCATTGCCTATTGGCCAGTAAGAATAAAAATTAAGATATTATATTCAATAATAATATAAGATGGACACCATTTTGCAGCAATCAATATTAATGATATCTTCTAGACAATATTTATACATGTTTTTAGATTGGGGGGATTTATTTAATAATCATTGATCTCACAATGAGTATTAATTTGTTTGTAAAATTGTATGACCATAAAGATTGTTAAGTTTATTCTAACTAATGATGAATATAGCATACAAAAATAAATCCAATCTTATTGACTAACTCTTAGCTCAAAAATCATTGTTAAAAAAAATGAGACAAAATTTATTACTGGTGGTAGGACCTCTTGTGAGTCCGCGCGGGTGGGTACCACCACCCTGCTTATTTCTGCCGTGAAGCAGTAATGCGTTTCGGTTTGAAGGGTGGGGCAGCCGTTGTAACTATACTTGAGACCTTAGAACTTATATCTCAAGGTGGGTGGCGCATTTACGTTGTGGATGTCTATGGGCTCCAGTAACCACTTAACACCAGGTGGGCTGTGAGCTCGTCCACCCATCTAAGCAACAAAAAAAAAAAGACTGTATGCTTAGGAAATCCATTTGAGAACCTACCAGTAATCCTAAAGAAAAAACTGCAATACTACAAAAATTAGACAACTCTGTGAACTACATTCTACACTGATTTATAACAATAAGATAACTCGATGGCAGAAGATGCCAGAATATAAAACTCAACGCTACTTCCTTCAGTTTTCATGATTCATTTTTTTGATTGCTTAGATGGGTGGACAAGCTTACAGTCCACCTGGTGCTAAGTGGTTACTGGAGCCCATAGAGATCTACATCGTAAATGAGCCACCCACCTTGAGATATGAGTTCTAAGGTCTCAGTATAGTTACAACGGCTGCCCCACCCTTCAAACCAAAGGGCATTACTGATTCACGGCAGAAATAGGCAGGGTGGTGGTACCTACCCATGTGGACTCATAAGAGGCCCTACCACCAGTAATTACGCAAATAACAATTTTTCGGGTTTGAATTTTGTTACATGATGTTATTCCTACACTGGTAGTCAATTATAAATATTTGTTAGGTGCGCATTTCATTAGAAATATTGGTACCAGCGTGCGGGAATCGAACACTGCTATGTCATTAGGTACAAATGTACTGGACGACTTATCCTTTAGACCACGACGACTTCAGGGACTCAGAGTTCTAAGTCACAGGGTGTCCCTACCTTAGGCCTTTATAGTAGGCAACAGCTTGACTCTGCCCCTGTCATTACTGACTTGATCACGCACACTGCTCATCATCAAGTGGGTCATATTCTCATTTGTCTACAAGGGCAATAAAAAATAGTTAAGAGACTTCATACTAAATGCAAAGTATATACTATAACTTTTACAATAGTATCTTCGGCCCACAATTGGCCGGTCACTTTGATAAATATTTTTAAATTAATTTTATTGTTAATTATCAGTCCAGACAATGTGTATAACTCTCCAATGTGATAACTCTCTGTTTGAATAAACTATTATCAGATAACCTTAATTTGTGTACTTTGTGGGTAGATTATTATTCGCTATAGAATGCAACAAAAACAGATATTTGCTCTCATTACACATTATAAAATTGTCTGCAACATATTGCTATATATATTTTTATTGATTTTTTTATTGCTTAGATGGGTGGACGAGCTCACAGCCCCCTTAGTGTTAAGTGGTTACTGGAGCCCATAGACATCTACAATAAATGCGCCACCCACCTTGAGATAAGTTCTAAGGTCTCAGTATAGTTCAACGGCTGTCCCACCCTTCAAACCGAAACGCATTACTGCTTCACGATAGAAATAGGCAGGGTGGTGGTACCTACCCGTTCGGACTGAGAAGACGTCCTACCGCCAGTGAGCCCTTGTAGGTAGACGAGCATACGGTCCACCTGGCGGTGAGTGATTACCGTCGCCTATTCAACAAAGCCATGGGAACAGGCGAGCCGTTGTCTTAATTTAAATATGCATCCATATGATCAATTTAGGATAATGTTGCCTTGAATGATCTATGTACAGTTTTGTTATAGTCGAGACTCAACAAATAAGTACAATGAGGAGACGCTAGGGCAGCTGTTAGCAAATTCCACCCCTCTTGGCTTAGCCTTTGCTCGCCCACCTGTCCCGATGAAACTGGAAAGGCCTTCAGGCCAACAGTAATCCTTTCTAAAAAAAATGTACAATAAACTACGTCCTAAATAAAGAGGGCAAAAAAACTAAATACGGTTTTCATCATTAACAGCGAGATATTTATTAAAATGCACATTATAAGTAGCATGCACATATGTATGTACCTACCTGCGTCACTTACACACGTCGGCGTCATGTGAAGTTCGTGACTCATTTGCTCTTAAATTACAATTAGCTGGTGTAAACATTTTTTTAAATTAGCTCCGTTTGATAGCAATTGCAATCTCCCTGTTTACGAGGAATATGTGGTTTTTTTTTTAATTCTCACATTCAGAGTACCTAGATGTGTCCACGGATTGTCAAACTTCACGCGCGAGAACATCGCTCACTTTGATGCAAAAGGTCGCGAGGTATTTCTTGCCTAATAACTTTAACATCTACTCTTTAAAGCAAGCAAGCCTGTATGGGTTCGCGATAGGAGAAAGCTGGTGGAGGATCGTGATTCTTCTGCAGTCCGTTATCTCCATCCCCTACTTTCGCTAGACTTTCGTTATTTAATAAAAGCTGAAAATTATTCTGTGCTTGCGTCCCACGAGTAAGAATAGTGAGAAGATGGTCTCAAAGATCATATCGGATCTTCTCGTTCTGTTATTGGTGCTTTTAGACATCGCAAGCGCTGGATACGGTTTTCCGCGAACCCGTCGAATGCGATGAAGGGTACTTCGTGTAAATTAATCCATAGACACAAATCGACCGAGTTTCTCGCCGAATCTTTTCAGTGGGTCGCGATCCCGATCCGGTGGATGATTAGCAAATCGCAGATCTGAGCTAGGTACACGTCCGGTGAAGCTAGCATAACCCCTAGAAGTTACTAGCAATAGCTAGGCCAAAAAAAGCTATGGTTTTTGGATTATGTTTAATTTGGGCTAGGAAACAAGTAGTAAAATTATATAGATCAATGCCTTGTTAGGCAGGGGGCCTACCCCCGGGTAGAGGGGACAGCCCCCAAGCCCGATCGCCGCCTCCGTAAGGGGACGCGAGGAACCAACAAGAGCGTGGGACAGTTGTTAAATTAAAACACGATTGAGACGTGACTTCATGTCCATTGCCTTCAGATGTCTATGGGCTCTATCTAACCGCGGCCCGTGACCCCCGTCTCATCATTCTCCTGCCCTTCTCCCAGTCACCTGGGGTCGGCGCAACATGTTTTCTTCTTCCATACTCCTCTATCATATACCATTTCTTCGCTCACTCCCCTCTTATCCATATCGTCTTTCACGCAATCCATCCATTTCTTCTTAGGTCTACCTCTTCCTCTATATCCATCCACATTCATAGTTAACATTCTCTTACCAACCTCATTTTCATTTCGTCTTTGACCCCCGTCAATGAAATAAAAATTACACACTCTTAAAATTTAAAATTATGTACATTACACAAAGTATGTTCTTAATAAATAGCGACAAAACGTAATCAAAGTAATTAAATGTACAGCGATATAAAAAGCAAATATATGCGTAATATAACACTATTGTAATAGTTTCCTTGTAATGATAAGCCACGATAGGTTGTCTTTGTGGATAAGACCTCGTCAGAACGAAATAACAGTGGTTGTTTGAGAGAGAAAACGGCGTGCGTACGAATTCTCATACACATTTCTTGCCCAAACAAACTCGTCGCCCAAAGCATGTCTTATCGGATCCCCCGGATCCTCGCTCGATGCTTTTAAGGTCTCCAAGCACCAGTCACCCTGCGAACTAGCCCATAGACATAACCGACTGAGTTTTTTTTTTTTTTTTCATTTTTTTTTTTCTTAAATAGGTGGATGAACTCACAGCCCACCTGGTGTTAAGTAGTTACTGGACCCCATAGACATCTACAACGTAAAAGCCGCCACCCATCTTGAGATGATATGAGTTCTAAGGTCTCAGTATAGTTATAACGTCTGCCCCGCCCTTCAAACCGGAACGCATTACTGTTTCACGGCAGAAATAGGCGGGGTGGTGGTACCTACCCGTGTGGACTCACAAGAGGTCCTACCACCAGTAATACCACCATAATTGCGAATAGGATTACCTGTTAGTTTACTGCCGGTAAAGCATATTATGATATATTGTCTCCGTCTGTCTCGGCGTTGGAATACGATGAAAAAACCCCATCGGAATGATGCAATGGAAGTCTCCCATTTTGTAAATTGAACTAGCAATATAGCAATAGAGATCAGGATTCTAGGACTGTTGACATATACTATTAGATCATAGTATCAATCCAAAAGCTAACCACCTATGATCGGTACAAAAAAAAAATTGCATTACATAATAAATTTCCAAATTAAAGATAACAACAAAACATTGAAAAAAATAATAAAAATTGAAGCGAAAAAAAATTTTCCTGACAGCGGTGGGATTCGAACCCACGCCCTTTCGGACTGGTGCCTAAAACCAGCGCCTTAGACCGCTCGGCCACGCTGCCTGTAATCAAACGTTATGAACTTTGGATTCATTCTG